ATATTAAAATGTCGAAAAATTGAAGACGCGAAAAACTGAAAAATCGAACAATGGAAACATCAAAAAATCGAAAAATTCAAACATCCAAAAATTCAAAAATCAAAAAATCGGGGAAGTGAAAATCTAAAATTTAAGAAGAAATTGAAAAATTACATAATTAAAATGATGAAAAATTAGGAAATCGAAACAATAAAAATTGAAAAGACGAAAAATCAAAAAGGCAGAAGGTCGACAAAGCGAGAAATCGAAAAATCGAAACATCAAAAAATTTTGCATCCACAAATTAGAAAGTCGAGAAGTCGAAAAATCGAAAAGTTGGGAATTAAAAAACTGAAATATTTAAAATTTAAAAACTGATCAATGAAAAATCAAAACTGAAACATTCGAAATTTTAAAAAATCCATGAATCGAAAAATTGGAAATTAAAAGACCAAAAAACCGAAATATTGGAAAATTCCAAAATTGATTCGTTATGGAAAATTTGAGAAATCAAAAAATTGAATGTTTAGCAACGTCACAAATTGATAAATTGAAAAATTAAAAAACCGAAAAGTAAAAATTCGACAAATCGAAAAGTCAAAAAACCGAAAAATTGAAAAATCAAAATACAAAAAATCCCAAAATTGAAGTATCGAAAAATTGGGAAATCGGAAGATTGAAAAAAAATTCAAAGATCGAGTAATGGAAATGAAAAATTGAAAAACCTAATGAAAAAAAAGTATGGAAAAAGTCGTAAAATTGAAAAAATCGAATTATCGAATAATCAAAAAATTCAAAAATCTAAAATTCAAACATCCAAAAATTCAAAAATCAAAAAATCGAGGAAGTGAAAATCTAAAATTTAAGAAATTGAAAAATTACAAAATTAAAATGGTGAAAAATTAGGAAATCGAAAAACTGAAAAATTGAAAAGACGAAAAATCAAAAAGGCAGAAGGTCGGCAAAGCAAGAAATCGAAAAATCGAAACATCAAAAAAATTTGCATCCACAAATTAGAGAGTCGAGAAGTCGAAAAACCGGAAAATTGAAAAATCGAAAAATTAGAAATTAAAAAATTGAAATATTTAAAATTTAAAAACTGATTAATGAAAAATCAAAAGCTTAATAATTCGAAAAATTGAAAAATTGAGAAATCACAACTAAAACATTCGAAATTTAAAAAAATCGTTGAATCGAAAAATTGGAAATTAAAAGATCAAAAAACCGAAATATTGGAAAATTCCAAAATTGATTCGTTATCGAAAATTAGAGAAATCAAAAAATTGAATGTTTAGCAACGTCACAAATTGATGAATTGAAAAATTAAAAACCGAAAAGTAAAAATTCGACAAATCGAAAAGTCAAAAAAACGAAAAATTGAAGATCAGAATACTGAAAAATCCCAAAATTGAAATAGGTATCGAAAAATTGGGAAATCGAAAGATTGAAAAAAAAATTTAAAGATCGAGTAATGGAAATGAAAATTGAAAAACCTAATGACAAAAAGTATGGAAAAGGTCATAAAATTGAAAAATGTAAAATTCAAAAAATCGGAATATCGAAAAATCAAAAAAATGAAAAATCAAAAATTTGAAACATAGAAATATCAAAGAACTAGCAAATCGAAAAATCCACAATTTAAACAATTGAAATATTAAATTATCGAAAACTTGAAGACGCGAAAAATTGAAAAATCGATAAAATTCAAAAATCTAAAATTTAAAAATCAAAAATTGAAAAATCGAAAACCGAGAAAGCGAAAATGTAAAATTTAAAAAACGAAAAAATTACAAAACTAAAACAATGAAAAATTGAAAATATGGAAAATCAAAAAGCCAGAGGGCCGACAAAGCGAGGAATCGAAAAATCGAAACATCAAAAAAATCAACATCCAGGAATCAGGAAGTCGAGAAGTTGAAAAAACGAAAAATTGAAAAATTGCAAAATGAAAAAATTTAAGAAGCGAAATATTGAAAAATTCCAAAACTCAGCGAAAATTTGCTAAATTGACAAATCGAAAAATTTAAAAACCAGAAATTAAAAAACCGCAATATCGAAATCCTAAAAAAAAATCGAAAGCTTAAGCAATCGAAACAAAACCTGAAAAATCCAGAAATTAATAAATTTCCAAAATTGAAATGTTGAAAAATTGGCAAAAATGAAAACTTGAGAAATCGGGAAATCTAAAAATCGAAAAGTTCAAAAATTTCAGTACATCGTTGATTAATGGAAACATCAAAAAAATCCTAAAATCGAAAAATGGAAAACCGAGAAAGCGAAAATCAAAAATTTAAGAAATAGAAAAATTACAAAACTAAAATGATGAAAAATTAGGAAATCGAAACAATAAAAAATTGAAAAGACGAAAAATCAAAAAACCAGAAGGTCGACAAAGCGAGAAATCAAAAATCGAAACATCCAGAAATCAGGAAGTCGGGAAGTCGAAAAAACGAAAAATTGGGAAATCGATATAGGGAAAAAATCGGAAAATCGAAAACTTAGAAATTAAAAAATTGAAAAGTGGAAATATCAAACAATTGAAATATCGAAATATCTAAAATTTAAAAAAGTGAAAAGATTAAAATGTCGAAAATATGAAAAATCGAACAATTGAATTATTCAAAGATCTAAATTTAAGGATGGAAAAATTGAAAAATCAAAAATTCGAAAAATGGAATTATCAAAGAACTGGTAAATCGAAAAATCTAAAATATAAACAAAGGAAATAAATTCTTTTATTTTTTTTTTGTTAAATTGATTTTTGTTTTTTTTTTTTGAAATAACGAATAATTAAAAAATCGAACAATCAAACAGTAAAAAATTTAAAAATTTAAAGATCATTGAAGGGGCGAAAAATCAAAAGTTCAACATCCAGAAATTAGAAAGTCGAGACTCGAAAAACCGAAAAATTGAGAAATCGAAACGGAAAAAATGGAAAAGTTAGAAATTCAAAAGTTGAAACATTTAAAATTCATAAACCGAAAAATTGAAACCTCCAAAACTTAAATATTGGAAAAATTGAAAAATAGACATATCAAACAATTGAAAAATCGAAAAATCGAGAAATCGAAAGACATATCTAAAATTTAAAAAAGTGAAAAAATAAAATATCGAAAATATGAAAATTTAAACAATCGAAACATAAAAAAAAACGAAAAATTGAAAAGTTAAAAAAACTACAATTTAAATACTGAAAAATTTAAAAAGTCGAAAAATCGAGATACCGAAAAGTCGAAAAATCGAGATACCGAAAAGTCGAAAAATCGAAACATTGAGAAATCGAAATAGGTCATATTCAAAAAATCGAAAGTTAGAAATTGAAACATTTAAAAGAACCCAAATATTGAAAAATTCCAAAAGTAGTTTGATGCGAAAAACTGAAAATTTCAAAACATAAAAAAGTGATAGATGAAAAATCGAAAAATTTTAAAAACGTAAAATTGAACGTACAACACTTTCAGTCACCACATCCTTTTTCAAATGCTTGATGCGGGATATCATAGAACAAATTTTATATGTAGTGCGGCGCTTTTTCGAACTTTGGAAGATTTATAGCCTCTGAATCGCCTCGCCCTAGAAATTCGTTCAGAAAACGTAGTAATAAATAATTACATTGTCACTGTATAAAAAAATGAACTTATCTTTTTAGAAAAAAAAGCGTTGCTTAAATTAAAATAAGCGTCCAAACTGGCACCAAGTTTTTGAAAATGCTTTACATCCGTCCTTACTTTACTTTAATTAACGAGTGCCTTAAAATGGAACAAATCTGCTCTTAGCCAACCATTGTTTGAACATCCGTGTAGATTTGGCCTCGTAATGTAAATTCTACGTGATGAGACTCTTGAGACATGAAAATCCATATCTCAGCATGATTAAGGATAACGAATGATTCTTAATAACGAGGATGAATTGCAGACTACGGAACGTCAACTATGAATATTTTAAAGACATAGTTTTATCGCGCTCCTTGGAAGGAACTGTAACACTCTATGAGAAACACATTAATTATAAAACCGATATCGACTTCCAAAAGAAAACGTTTTGGACTGAGTTTTTTTTTTTTTTCGCTTTGAAAGATGTTTCCCCTATTTTATTCGACGAGATTTGTATTTTTTTTGTGCGTGGAAATGAACATCTGCAGACTGTAACGTCATCAGCATCGATTTTTGGCATATGTTTGCCGAAAACTCGACCCGGCGACACATTATCCTCGAATATTGGTCTTAACTTTCTCTCATTACGAAACTTAGGGAGTTTGTTGATGCTTATTTTTTTAATCTGGTGTAAAACTAAAAATCTATGCTTATGTATTTTTAATGAATTTGTTAGGTGATAGGATACGTATTTGGAAACAACCTATTGTGGGGTATTAAGATTTGTTTTAACTATTAAAACAACGGTTACTAGCTCACTGGGTTGGAAGTAATGATTTATTAATTACGTAGAAACTTGCACGAACTTGTAATTATGAGTCAAAATCGATGTTGTGAGGGGGAACGTCAACAGGATTTTGGAACAATGTGATACATATACTTGTCGGAAGCAAACTTAACCTACTAACTGAAAAAAGAAATGAAAATGAAAAGGGAATAAATGAACACGCAAGGGATTTGGAAACACAATAAGAACAATTATTGTATAATAGCTTTGAAAATTAGAATACACTTATTAGTATTAATGGAAGAATTTTTCCTAAATTTGACTAGCTATTTACTCACAAATTTAATGATTATGAAATGGTTCGAAAATTAAATTTTGACCTTCATTTTAATTTATTTATGTTTGGTGACGAAGCATGTGAACGTGCATGCAGTTATTCATGGCAGTAATTTTTATTAGTTTGCACGACATTTGAGGTGGCGGGTTGAAACAGGCTAAATAAAATTGTTTTAACAATTTTATTTTTTTTTTTTGTTATTAGGGGGACAATATTAAAAAGAAAACATCTAGGGTCCGAAATTCTTGAATCGGGTCTATGGTCATTAATCTTCAATTTCACAATCTCGCGTTTTCCTTCTCAGGCATATCCCAACTGGCCCAATGCGGCCAATTGGGCGACCTGCCAGAACTCCCCGCTCCCGACGAACAACGTCTCCAGAAGGCGGCTGCCTTGCTGCAACAACGCCTTGTCCTTCGTCAGTGGCTCACCAAACACAACCTCCAGCATTACTACCCGCGCCTCCTTAACCTCGAAGTGACCAGTCTCGAAGACGTCTACTGGCTAGAAGACACCAAAGCGAAGTCCATCTTGCAGAAAGACTTCCCGAGGTGGTCGTCCGCGCGACAGTCCCTCCCTACGTCCAAGGTGCTGTTGGAAACGTTAAAAGCAGACCTTTGGTCCGAGGTTGTCAAGTCCAGTAGTCACCAGGACGCTTGGACATGGGGTTAGTTGTTTTTTGAAGTTTTCAGCCAGAAAACAATCGTTGACGTTTTCTAGGAGGCATGTTGGTCGTTTCTGTTTCGGTTGCCGGTTTGGTGACGCTAGCAGCGATGACCCAACCGTCGTTGGCTCCCGAAGCCAAACATTCTCTGTTGCAGTATGTGACGGGGAAGTACCTGTTGCCGTCGAATTGCAAGGTACCAACGCGACATGATGAAAAAACGAAGTGTAACGTTGTCGTTTCTAGGTGATTTTCCATTGGTCCGATCCCCATTCCGTAGGGCACACGGTGTGCTTCACTGTACAGTTCTACCAACGTAATGGACAGCCTTATCCGATCTGTGATACAGACAATTTTGTCGTTGACGTTTCCGAGGGTACCAGGAAGGTAAACGTCTTGAAAGACTAAAAACTGGATTTTATTATCTTTAACCCTAGATGGTGGTTATGACAGAGCTGGGCTCGCCCACCGACCCCAATAGTGGCAATATTGCAAAAGTTAAGTTCACAGTACGACACGCAGGCCAGTACAGGATTAGTATAATGGTGAGCAACCAACATGTAGCTGGAAGTCCTTTCATGAGAACGTTCGTTGCTGGACCTGCCTACGCCCAACGGACTGTAGTGGTAAGGCACTGTAGTACAGTCGTCTGTACTGCAAGCGTCGCCCATTTGTTGTACATAGAACCGCGAGACGAATACGGGAACATTTGTGGCTACACGTCTGAAGAGGATCCGACGGAGGTGGGTCGAAATCTCTCACTACAATTTACATATTTTTGTTTCGTAGGGTTATACAGTACACATCACACAATTAGGGACTTATTCTAAAGAGTCAAATTTGGACATCGACGACAATAATTTTACGTCAGCTTTAGATTACGACTGGCAAAGTCAACGAGTAAGCCTACAGCTTAAGTTTATCTACGAGGGGTGCTACCACACCACTATTAAATATAAAGGGACGGAACTACATAACGGTGATTTTGACATCATAGTTCTTAATAGTAAGTAAAAAGAGGCGGCGTTGTTTGTTGGCATAATTCGCTTTCTGTGCAGGTATAGATTCTACTCTAGTCCATAAGAACGTAGCATCGAAGAATCACAACATTTGTTACGAGGCTAAATTGATAGGTGTTAATGGAGACAGATTACAGAAGCCTAAAAAAATCATGTGTTACGTTTCACCGAAGCAGCTGATCATTAAAGAACTCATCTTGAAATTCATTCCTAAGAGATTATACACGTTTCGACTGTGTCCTTCCACTAAGGTAACTGGATAAAATACACCTAGGCGGTATATGGAAGGAGACCAACCCGTTTTTCGGCACTCATGTACTATTTTAATGCGTGTATTGAGAATTTGTTTTGTTATTTGGAAATTTTGTTTATCACATTTTAAAATATCAAGTTAAAAAAATTGTAAAGTTTGATTTTGCGGATTTTATATTTTTTATGAGAACCGCTATAAATATCTAAACATGACGTCATCAATTTTTTGGGGGCGATAAAGAGATATATTTTGACTACCATGCCTGCAATAACTTCAAAATGTCTGCAAAATTTCAATAAGAGATGGCGCACCAACATTTGACCGTCAAACGCCGTCAAATAGCTTGAAAAATCGAAAATTCGAAACTATTGAAAAACGAAAACTGAGACAAAGCGAGAAATCGAAAAGTCGAGAAGTCGAAAAAATCAAAAAGTTAACAACTGAAACAGTAAAAAATTTTAAATAAAAAAAATATATAAATCCAGAAATCAAAGAATTGAACGATCGGAAACTCGAAATTCCAAATCTCTATAAATCGGGAACTCGAAAAATTGAAAAATTGGAAAACTGAAATATCGAAAAATTTAAAAACTCGAAAAATTGAAGAATAAAAATATGGAAGAACTAAATAATCGAAAAATCAAGAAATTGAGAAATCTAAAATTTAAAAAAATGAAAAATTAAAATATCGAAAAATTGATGAATCGAAAATTGAAAAACTGGAAACTCAAAAATAAAGAATCTAAAAATAAAAAATATAAAAAATCGAAAAATTGGAAAACCCATTAAAAACCCAAAATTTAAAACACCAAAACAGAAATCGATAAACTGATAAATCAAGAACTTAAAAATTCGCAAAATTGAAAAGCAAAAATATAGAAGAACTGAAAAATCGGAAAATTGAGAAATCTAAAAATATAAAATTTAAAAAATTCAACAATTAAAATATCGAAAAGCTGAGAAAAATCGAGAAATTAAAACATCGAAAATTTGAAAAATCTAAAATTAAAAAATTCAAGAATCGAAAAACTGAAAAATCGAGAAAATGAAAAATTTAAAAGTCAAATTACGAAAAATTGCGAAGGATATCGAAAAATTGAAAAATCGAGTCATGCAAAACTGAAAAAACGAAAACTCTAAAAATCAAAAAACAGAAATCGAAAATTCGAAACATTAAAAATTGAAAAACTCAAGCAGAGAGAAACGAAACGTCGAAATGTGTAGAAATCGAAAAATCAAAAACTTTAAAAATTCAAAAATTAAAATATCGAAAAGTTGAAAAATCGAGAAACTGAAACATCGAAAAACTGAAAATTTGAAAAATCGAAAAATCCAAAATTAAAAATTTGAAAAATGGAATAGAAAAATTGAAAAGTCGTGAAATTGCAAAAATTTAAAACTCAAATGACAAAAATTGGGAATTGAAAAATTGAAAAGTCGGGACATCGCAAAATTGGAAAATCGAGTCATCGAATAGCTGAAAAGTCGAAAAATCGAAAAGTTAGAAATTGAAAAATTTGAAAAATTTTAAATTAAAAAATATATATAAATCCGGAAATCGAAAAATTAAGCAATTGAAAGATCTAAAATTTAAAAATATTCAAAAACTAAATATCGAAAACTGAAAATCCGAAAGATCGAAAAATCCATAATTTAAAAAATCGAGAAATTGAAAAATTTAAAACCCAAATAATGAAAAATTGGGAAATCGAAAATTGAAAAGCCGGGACGTCGCAAAATTGGAAAATAGAGAAATCCAAAAGCCGAAAAATCGAAAAGCAAAGGAATCGAAAATACGAAAGTTCAAAAAATTGATAAACTGACGCGAAACATTAAAATGTCGAAAAATCGAAAAGTTAAATATTGAAAAATTGAAAAATTTTAAATGAAAAAGCCGAAAAACTGAAAAATTAAAGGATCGAAAAATCAAAAATTTTAAAAAACGAAAAATTTAAAGATCCAGACATGGAAACATTAAAAAATTGAAAAATCTAAAATTTAAAAACTCAAAAAATTGAAGAATATAAATATCGAGGAACTAATAAACTGAAAAATCGGGAAATGGAGAAATCTAAAATTGAAAAAATTAAAAAATCCAAAAACTGAAAAATCGAAAAACTAAATAATCGAAAAATAAAAAATTGAAAAACTCATTGAAAACCCAAAATTTAATAGACTAAAACATTAGAAAATCAATAAACTGAAAAATCAAAATCTTTAAAATTCGAAAAACTGAAAAGCAGAATAAAAAAATTGAGTAATCGAAAAATTTGAAAACTCGAAAAATTGAAGAATAGAAATATCGAAGAACTAAATAATCGAAAAATCAAGAAATGGAGAAATCTAAAATTAAAAAAAATGAAAAATTAAAATATCGAAAAATTGGTGAATCGAAAAACTGAAAAATAGAGAAATTGAAAAATGGAAATTCAAATTACGAAACATTGGGAAATCGAAAAGTCGAAAAACAGAGAAATCGAAAGTTCGGAACATTCAAAAATTGAAAAACTGAAGAGAGAAACGAAACTTCAAAATGTCCTGAAATCGAAAAGTCGACAAGTCGAATAAATCGAAAATAAAAATTGAAAAATGGAAAAATTTGAAACTAAAAAAAACTATGAATCCAGAAATCGAAGAATTGAACAATCAGAAAATTGAAAAATCCAAAGACTCAAAATCGAAAAATAAAAAATTTAAAAAATCGAAAAATTTCAAAAATCGAGAAATCGAAACATCAATAATCGAAAAATTGAAAAACCCATTAAAAACCCAAAACTTAAAAGACCAAAACATTAGAACATCGATAAACTGAAAAATCAAGAACTTAAAAATTCGTAAAATTGAAAAGCAGAAATATAGAAGAACTGCAAAAACCGAAAATTGAGAAATCTAAAAATCTAAAATTTAAAAAATTCAACAATTAAAATATCGAAAAATTGAGAAAAATCGAGAAATTGAAACATCGAAAAATCTAAAATTCAAAAATTGGGAGGGAAATCGAAAAATTGAAAAATCGAGACATGCAAAATTGAAAAAACGAAAAGTCGAAAAATCAGAAACTTAAAAAATTCAAAAATTAAAATATCGAAAACTTGAAAAGTTGAGAAACTGAAACATCGAAAAATTGAAAATTTGAAAAATCTAAAACTCAGAAATCGAAAAACCGAGAAATCGAAAAATCCAAAATTTAAAAATTCGAAAAATTTAATAGAAAAATTGAAAAGTCGAGAAATTGCAAAAATTTAAAACTCAAATGACCAAAAATTGGGAAATCGAAAAATCTAAAAGTTAGAAATTGAAAAAATTGAAAAATTTTAAATTAAAACATAAATCCGGAAATCGAAAAATTGAGCAATCGAAAAATCTAAAATTTGAAAATATTCAAAAACTAAAAATCGAAAAGTTGAAAAAAACGAGAAATTGAAACATCGAAAAACTGAAAAACCGAGAAATTGAAAAAATTTAAATCCAAATGATGAAAAATTGGGAAATCGAAAATTCGAAAGTTCAAAAAATTATAAAACTGAAACACAGAGAAACGAAACATCAAAATGTCGAAAAATCAAGAAATCGAAAAGTCTAAAAAATCGAAAAGTTCAACATTGAAAAATTGAAAAATTTTAAATAAAAAAAATATGTATATAAATCTAGAATAGAAATCAAAAAATTCAACAATCGGAAAATCTCAACATCGAAATCTCAATAAATCGGGGAACTCGAATATTTGAAAAACCGAGAAACTGAAAAATGGAAAAGTTAAAGAATCGAAAAATCAAAAATTTTAAAAAACAAAAAATTGAAAGATCGAGACATCGATACATTAAAAAACTGAAAAATTTAAAAACTCGAAAAATTGAAGAATATCGAGGAACTAATAAATAGAAAAATCGGGAAATGGAGAAATCTAAAATTGAAAAAATTGAAAAATCCTAAAACTGAAAAATCAAAAAATTAAACAATCGAAAAATCAAAAATTTTAAAAATTGAAAATTTGAAAAACCCATTGAAAACCCAAAATTTAACAGACTAAAACATTACAAAATCAATAAACTGAAAAATCAAAATCTTTAAAATTCGAAAAACTGAAAAGCAGAAATACAGAAGAACTGAAAAATCAAAAAATTGAGATTCTTACAATTTTTTTTCGTCGCTCTGTATCGAGTGGTAGATTTAAGAACCGTTTTGTTGCTGTTATGGGGGTTGCCAATGCGCGCGATTGGAGTCCAAGCCATTTGACGGCGTTTGACGGCCAAATGTTGGTACGCCATCTATAATTCGCTGGCCTTCTCCCTATCTCAATTGTGATGATTTTTTTTATTCGCGGTGAACCAAAGGGGTGGAGCTTAACTGCAAAGTACTTATTTCTTTACAAGAAATTAAAAACAGGTTTCTGAGTATCGTGTTGTTCAAAGAATACTATGTACATTAAGACAAAAAGGCAAAATATAAACCCCGCCCACCCACCCCATCTCGATTGTGATGATTTTTTTTATACTTAGAAACTTAAAACACGTTAAAAAAGGTAAATTTTTGTAAGAAAATATGGATTTAGGCAATTAGGCCCCTCCCCTAGGTCTACCAATGGTTTTCAATTTTTCGATGTTTCAATCCTACGATTTCTCAATTTTTGATTCTTCAATTTTTCGATGGTTCAGTTTTGGTTTTTCACGTTTTGATTCTTCAATTTTTCTTCCATTTTTCAATTTTTCGGTATTTCAGCTTTGGGATTTTTCAAAATGTCGATTCTTCAATTTCTCGATTTTTTTGACGTTTCAATTTTCGATCTCTCGATTTTTTACTTTTTCGATATTCAGTTTTTCAGTTTTATGTAACTGGTCTAACCGTTAAATAAATCATTATTATTATTGATGTTTCTATTTCTCAATTTTTCGAATTTTTCAAATTTTAAATTGTTCAGTTTGTTGATGTTTCAATTTAACAGTCTTTCAATTTTTCGGCTTCTCGGTTTTAGATTTTTTACTTCGGTCTTTCGACTTCTAGATTTTTCCAAATTTCAATTTTTCGATTTCTCAATTTTTCTGTTTCAGTTTTGCCTTTTTTAAATTCTTCAATTTTTTTCCCCATATTTCAATTCTCAATTTTTGGATTACTCGATTTTTCAATTTTCCAATTTATGGATTTTTTTCATGTTTCGAGTCCTTGGTTTTTTAATTATTGCATATTTTAATTTTTTAATTTTAATTTTTTTGTTATTCGATGTGAAACAATGGGGCGAAGCTTAACTGCAAAATACTTACTTCTTTACAAGAAATAAAAAACATGTTTTTGAGTATCGTGTTCTTCAAAGAATACTATGTACATTAAGATAAAAAGGCAAAATATAAACCCCGCCCACCCACCCCATCTCAATTGTGATGATTTTTTTATTCTTAGAAACTTAAAACACGTTTAAAATGGTCTGACAACGAATGAAAAATTCATGACAATTGAGGTAGGGATGGATATGGGTGGGGCTTAATTTTTGGCTTGTTTTTTTCTTAATATACACACTCTTTGAACAGCACGATACTCAAAAACTTATTTTTTTTTTCTTGTAGAGAAACAAAGATTTTGCAATTAAATTCCGCGCCTTTGGCTCTCGACGATTAAAAAAAAAAACATCACAACTGAGATAGGGTGGGTGGGCGGGGCCCGGTACTTTCCGAGATTATCTGTCTAATAAAAATAAAAAAAGTATGAAAAGCTTGCCGAACGGTTCCAATCTCCCCATCTACTGCTAAACCTACCCCGCCCTCTCCAATCAGGTGGTGACTCTTTCAGTTCAGTTTCCAAACCGACAGTCCGTCGAAAGCCCTGGACAACTCCACCGGCTTCTTCACCGTGGACGACGGCTGCCAACCTAAAATCGAACTCCTCTCCCGCGAACGCAACGTAATAGCAGCCACTTTCGCGCAGTTCCTGCTGAAGAACATGGGCGGCTCCGAAACCTTCAAAGACAAGCAAGACTTCTTCTATCACGAAGTGCGCAAGTACCACCAGAAGCACTACCACGAAAAACTCTCCATGAAAGTCAACCGCGAAAAACTCCTGGAGACTAGCATGAAAGCCACCAAGAACTTTTCGGTAGGCGAGTGGTGTAGGAATTTCGAAATCACGTTTCAAGGGGAACAAGGTACGACACGATTAATACAACTGGTGTTGGTATTAATGTACCCGTTTAGGTATCGACTGGGGCGGGTTGCGACGAGAGTGGTTCGAACTTATTTGTGCCCAGTTGTTTGACGCGAAACATGGGTTGTTCACGAGCTTCCATGAAGGGCAACAATCGTTGGTACACCCGAACCCGAACCGTCCGAGTCACCTGAAGTTGCGTCACTACGAATTCGCCGGAAAAGTAGTCGGGAAATGCTTGTACGAAAGCGCTCTGGGAGGGTCGTACCGACAACTGGTTCGTGCCCGTTTTACGAGATCTTTCCTGGCACAAGTAATCGGGCTTCGGGTTCACTACAAATACTTCGAACAGGACGATCCGGATCTATACCTTTCAAAAATCAAGTACCTTTTGGAGAACGACATCGACCAAATCGACACCGAGTTGTACTTTGTTGAAGAGCAGTACGACACGTCTGGTCAATTACTCAAAACAGTCGAACTAATCCCCAACGGTTCTAAAATCCGGGTTCGCAATTCTACGAAACTTCAGTACTTGGACGCGTTAGCACAGTACCGTTTAGCCACTAGCATCAAAGACGAAATGGAATCGTTCCTCAAGGGCTTGAACGAGCTCATTCCAGACAATCTTTTGAGTATTTTCGACGAAAACGAACTAGAAGTAAGCATTTTAGTAATAATATCAAAACACAGTTCCATTCACACGGTATTTCTAAACCGTTTGAAATGAACAATGTTTTGACGTCAAGGGTTTTAATGTCACAAAATGGACAGAAGATTCCAATTTTAATAATATTTGTCTGAATTGGCCTTCCAGTTGTTGCTGTGCGGGACAGGGCAGTACAGCATAGCCGATTTTAAACTCCACCACGTGATTAACGGGAATTCTGCAGAGTTTCGCAGGATTGTAGGTTGGTTCTGGGCAGCTATTGGGAATTTCACGCAGGAGGAAATGGCCAGGCTGTTACAATTTACCACTGGGTGTTCTCAGCTACCGCCAGGGGGCTTCAAGGAGCTCACTCCTAAGTTTCAGATTACAGCAGCGCCGACGTTCGGGAATCTTCCAACGGCACACACTTGGTATTAAACTGTGATAACGTGCGACGATAAAATTTCATGATGGTTTTGCAGTTTCAATCAGCTTTGTTTACCAGATTATGACTGCTATGAACATTTTGAGAAGTCGCTACTTTTGGCCATCAGCGAAGGGACGGAAGGATTCGGAATGGTGTGAACAAAAATCTGCGTTTATGAATCTCGTTTTCTAGATTTTTTGTTTTCATTATTGATATTGTCATCGCTGATACAAAACTGCAACGTATTATTAAAAGTGACATAATGATATGCAATGTGGAAAAATCGGTATGAGTAGGGAGCACGAGTGCAGCTAGTTTTACGAAATTTTCTATTTTTAATTTAATTTTTAAATAGTAACCTGTCATTTTTTTATCAATTTGTGAAAAAAATTACAATTTTGTACGAATATAAAATCACCTCTAATTTGTCAGATTTGTAAAACTCGTGCTCGAATTCTGTCCCCTATTTGCAAGCGAGGAGTACTGTATCTGTAAAATAATCAAAGTATGAACAACTATAGTGTACAGATTGTGATAATATTGTAAAACCGTGTTCATTAAACTATTGATTTAGGTTAGGCTGTGCAGTTATAATGCTTTTTAGGACTAGAGCTTATACTTTTAAGCAATATTTAAAGAAATCTTAACTATTGCACTTCTTTATTTTATTACAAGCGATTATGTACTTCATTAAGTTCTGAGTACCTGAATGTATAATTTTCATTTTATACTAGTATTATCTAGTCTAGTTTTTTCGTTTACAGTTGTGTTTTTTAACAACGATCTGATTATATTATTAAATAGAAGCAATGAAGATCTCGTATCTACTGTAATATTTGTATTTTTCTTGGGACCAGCGAGTTTCAAACTTAGTAGTGCTTACAGGATCAGATGACAATAGTTTTAAAACGCCTTGTAGTCAGTAAGATTGCATCCAGTGATTTGCTGTAGCATTTTATAAACCATACCTTCTCCATTTAATAGCCAATTAAATTTTAATCATAGAACGAGTCTTATATTACTCGTAGTTTACAAAGTTAGGTTTGGCTGAGTATACGATGTACATACGAAAAGAGAAGAGTTATTATTGACAGCCACCCTATATCCAGAGTGTATAAATCCTTGAATAAAACCCAAAAAACGATTTTTTTTATCAGTTAACCAAAAATTAGTCACAATGGTGGGCGTGAAAATTGCTAGTGTGAGTGTTTGTGGCTACTACTATCAGCAGGTAAGTGCAACTGCATTTTTTTTTATTAACTTCTTCATGTATTAATATTATTATATTATATTAATCAGTTAATGTTTTTAATAAAGTATTTGTTACCCCTTCGTACCCAACAGCGAGGGGTAACAAATACAGCTCCTCCGCCTTCTCTCTGCGGGTTGTCATAATTCCATAAACACTCCTTGTTTGATTACAAAAATTGAAATTCAGGTAGAAAAAAACCGTGTTGTAAGGTGGTTGTAAGTATCACACAATAAAATATGTTCAACTCAGACAGTACTTTTCTTAAGATAAAAGTAAATTAATGGAGTTTTTTAACAAACATTAATAATTACATTTATCTTCGGTAGATTTTAAACGGGAGGTGGTATTTTTTATCAGCCTGACTTAGTAAGAAATCGAATAAAATGACGAATATTGGCAATTCGAAAATAAAACAAGACGAAACCTAGGAATGAAATATACAAAAATTATCTTCTAATTGTCTTCTATTTCAATTTTGGGACTTTTAAATTTTCAATTTTTCGAATTTTTAAATTGTAGATTTTTCACTTTTTTGTTGTTTCGATTTCTTAATCTTTCGATTTTTTGCCTTCTGGTTTTTAGATTTTTCAATTTTTGGCGTTTTTAAATTTTTGGATTTTTCAACTTCTCGATTAATGGATTTTTAAATTTTTTGACTTCGATTTTTCGTCTCCGAGTTCTCAATTTTCATATTTTCAATGTTTAAGTTTTGGGAGTTTTCAATTTTGGAATTTTTCAATATGTATTTCGATTTTTAAATTTTTAGATTTTTCGACTTTGTTTTTTTGATTTTTACTTATTCGATTCTTCAAAATTTTACGATTTTTTAAATTTACCTTTTTCGGTTTTTCAGTTTTTTAATTTTTCGATTTATTGATGTTTTGATTGCTCGATTTTGTAAATTTTCAATTTTTCGAATTTTTAGATTTTAGATATTCACTTTTTTAATTTTTTGACTTTTCGATTTTTCGTCTTTTCGATTTCTCAATTTTCATATTTTCAATGTTTAAGTTTTGGGAGTTTTCAATTTTGGGATTTTTCAATATGTATTTCGATTTTTTAATTTTTAGATTTTTCGACTTTGTTTTTTTGATTTTTACTTATTCGATTCTTCAAAATTTTACGATTTTTTAAATTTACATTTTTCGATTTTTGGGTTTTTTGATTTTTCGATTTGTTGATGTTTTGATTGCTCGATTTTGTAAATTTTCAATTTTTAGAATTTGAATATTTCACTTTTTTGTTGTTTCGATTCCTCAGTCTTTCGATTTTTTACCTTCTCATTTTTAGATTTTTCGATTTTTCAATTTTTTAATTTTTCCAGTTGTCGATTTCGATTTTTCGATTTCTCAGTTTTTCGATTATTCGAGTTTCTAATTTTTCGACGTTTTAGTTTTGCGATTTATGTATTTAAATTTTTCGACTTCTCAATTTTTCAGTTTTTGGCGTTTTAAAATTTTTGGATTTTTCGATTTCCCAATTTCTCGATTAATCGATTTTTTAATTTTCCGGTTTTTCGATTTCTCTGTTTAAGTTTTGGGATTTTTCAAGATTTCAATTTTTAAATTTTTAGATTTTTGACTTTGTTTTTTTCAACATTGTCATCTATTCGATATTTTAATTTTTGGATTTTTTAGATTTTTAAAATTCTTGATTTTTCAATTTTTCGAATTTTTAAATTTTAGATTTTTCACTTTTTGTTTTCTCGATTTCTTAATCTTTCGATTTTTTGCCTTCTCGTTTTTAGATTTTTCAATTTTTCGGAATTAATTTTTCAGTTTTTTGATGTTTCGATTTTTCACTTTTTGGTTTGTTTTTTTTTAAGTTAAAATTTTTCAATTTTGAATTTTCCCATTTTTAGACTTTTATTCTTCAATTTTTCGATTTTTCGACTTCTCGATCATTTGATGTTTGGATTTCGCGATTTTTCAATTTTTAAACATTTCAGTTTTGGGATTTATGTATTTAACATTTTCGATTTTTCAATTTTTGGATTTTTCAATTTCTCGATTAATGGATTTTTTAATTTTTTAACTTCGATTTTTCATCTTTCCGATTTCTCGATTTCTCAATTTTCATATTTTCAATATTTAAGTTTTGGGAGTTTTCAATTTTGCGATTTTTCAATATGTATTTCAATTTTTAAATTTTTAGATTTTTCGACTTTCTGCTTTTTTGATTTTTACTTATTCGATTTTTTATTTTTAGATTTTTCGATTTTTCAATTTTTCGGAATTCATCTTTCAGTTTTTCGATATTTCGATTTTTCAATTCAATTTTCCGATTTATCGGGTTTTTTAAGTTTACATTTTTAAATATTGAATTTTCCCATTTTTCGATCTTTAGCCATTTCGATAACCCAATTTTTTGATTTTTCGATTTCTCGACTTTCGGACTTTTTTGATTTTTCGATTTCGCGTTTGTTCAATTTTTCGATTTCTCAGTTTTTCGATTATTCGAGTTTATAAGTTTTCGACGTTTTAGTTTGCGATTTATGTATTTAAATTTTTCGACTTTTCAATTTTTCAGTTTTTGGCGTTTTTAAATTTTTGGATTTTTCGATTTCTCGATTAATCGATTTTTTAATTTTCCGATTTTTCGATTTCTCTGTTAAAGTTTTGGGATTATTCAATTTTGGGATTTTTCAAGATTTCGATTTTTAAATTTTTATATTTTTCACTTTGTTTTTTTGATTTTTACTTATAAATGAATTTTCAAAATTTTGCAAATATTTTAAATATTACACTTTTCAACATTTTCATCTATTCGATATTTTAATTTTTGGATTTTTTATATTTTTAAAATTCTTGATTTTTCAATTTTTCGAATTTTTAAATTTTAGATTTTTCACTTTTTGTTTTTTCGATTTCTTAATCTTTCGATTTTTTGCCTTCTCGTTTTTAGATTTTTCAATTTTTCGGAATTAATTTTTCAGTTTTTTGATGTTTCGATCTTTCACTTTTTGGTTTGTTTTTTTTTAAGTTAAAATTTTTCAATTTTGAATTTTCCCATTTTTAGACTTTTATTCTTCAAAATGTTTGGATTTCGCGATTTTGCAATTTTTCGAGATTTCAGTTTTGGGATTTATGTATTTAACTTTTTCGATTTTTCAATTTTTGGCGTTTCTAAATTTATGGATTTTTCAATTTCTCGATTAATGGATTTGTTAATTTTTTGTACTTTTCGTCTTTCCGATTTCTCGATTTCTCAATTTTCATATTTTCAATATTTAAGTTTTGGGAGTTTTCAATTTTGTGATTTTTCAATATGTATTTCGATTTTAAAATTTTTAGATTTTTCGACTTTCTGGTTTTTTTGATTTTTACTTATTCGATTTTTCAATTCAATTTTCCGATTTATCGGGTTTTTTAAGTTTACATTTTTCAATATTGAATTTTCCCATTTTTCGATCTGTAGCTATTTCGATATCCCAATTTTTCGATTTTTCGACTTCTCGATTTCTCAATTTCTCGATTAATCGAGTTTTTAATTTTCCGATTTTTCGATTTCTCTGTTTAAGTTTTAGGATTATTCAATTTTGGGATTTTTCAAGATTTCGATTTTAAAATTTTTAGATTTTTGACTTTGTTTTTTTGATTGTTTACTTATACTCGAATTTTCAAAATATTGCAAATGTTTTAAATATTACAATTTTCAACATTTTCATCTATTCGATTTTCTAATTTTTTAATTTTTGGATTTTTTAGATTTTCAAAATTCTTGATTTTTCAGTTTTTCTATTTTTCGTGTTTTTGATGCTTTGATTTTTCAATTTTTAAATTTTCAATTTTTCGAATTTTTAAATTTTAGATTTTTCACTTTTTTGTCTTTTCGATTTCTTAATCTTTCGATTTTATGCCTATTCGTTTTTAGATTTTTCAGTGTTTCGGAATTAATTTTTCAGTTTTTCGATGTTTCGAATTTTCACTTTTTGGTTTATAGTTTTTTTTAAGTTTTCGATTTTTCGACTTCTCGATCTTTTGATGTTTGGATTTCGCGATTTTTCGATTTTCCAATGTTTCAGCGTTTCAGTGTTGGGATTTATATACTTAACTTTTCGATTTTTCAATTTTTGACGTTTCTAAATTTTTGGATTTTTCAATTTCTCGATTAAAGTTTTTTTTTTAATTTTTTTACTTTTCGATTTTTCGTCTTTCCAATTTCTCAATTTTCATATTTTCAATGTTTAAGTTTTGGGAGTTTTCAATTTTGGCATTTTTCAATGTGTATTTCGATTTTTAAATTTTTTGATTTTTCGACTTTCTGTTTTTTTGATTTTTACTTATTCGATTCTTCAAAATTTTGCGATTTTTTTAAATTTACATTTTTCGATTTTTCAGTGTTTTGATTTTTAGATTTTTTACTTATACTCGAATTTTCAAAATTTTGCAAATGTTTTAAATATTACATTTTTCAACATTTTCATCTATTCGATCTTTTAATTTTTGGATTTTTTAGATTTTTAAAAAACTTGATTTTTCAATTTTTCGGTTTTGACAATATTTTGATTTTGATGTTTAAAAAAAGGCCCTAGGAGCGTCAGATTCTATAAAATTCTTTCCAAATAAAGAACTTCATAGATTCCCGAGATTTTGAAAAGTGTTTTAAAAACAAAACCCAACAGGCCCCAAAATGTTGTTGTATATTTAAAAAAAAAACACTACCCGCCTGCAAGATTTTTTCTTTTAAACGCAAAAAATTGGTCCAAAGTTATTTAAACATTAGACAGATCTTCCCTTGCCTCTGAAGTAAAAGTGTATTATCAGTGCATGCTTAATTTTAGTTGTTTATGTCTATACATCGAAAGAATGCGACAATTAAGCACACAGCAAATTGTTCCTCAAAACAGAGTAAGCGATTAAAATTATTAATTAAGCTACAATGCAGCATAACGTTTTGAATATTATTTTGGGTAAGTCGATGTTACAACGACAATTATTATTTTATCATTATTAAATATAGGCGGCTCAACATTACTGTATTCCAACATTTTCGGGCCCCGGCGCCCACAAACCAGGAACAAACCGCTTTTTTTTCTCTGTGTTCGTACCGTGTATAGTTTACATACAATGAATTATTTTCAAATTACTTTATTAAATTAAAATAATATAGTAAATAAATCTTATATAAAACATCAATTAGTATAAATTAAATTTCCGGCAATGCTGGCAACATCAAGTAAGCCGCATTCTGCAAAACCGCCCAAGACACTTGCACAAATTCCTTCGCGTTTTTCCACATACATTTTTCCACTTTCGTCTTCAGATCTGAATTTTCCTTAAAAACCGTCTCGTAGTCGCTACTTAGCACCGCCAGTTTGTCCTCCAAACTCTCGGTTTTTCGTTTCATTTCGTCTTTCGCAGAACAAACGCGACTCAGCTCGTACCGAACACAATCGTAGCTTTTTACTTTCATTTTATACTGCCTGAGAAAATTACTCAATTATTTAAAGTTTTCCCATTCTCGATAACTCACTCTTTCAACTTATCGACCTCTGAAGCGTAGACTTTTTTCGCTTCCTCGCATTCTTTTAATCGTTTTTCTAGATCTTTCAACGTCCGATTCATCTTATCCATGACTTCTTCCTGCGACTTAATCTCGGCGTGTTGTGCTTTCACCTATGAAGCATCGGAAGAGAAAATAAATTAGTCATCTTGGGGTTGATCGGGCGCAAGCTCCGAGGGGGTGGAATGTGACTCATGCCGCCCTAATCGAAATTCTCTATTCCCGGAAGAGGGTGAGTCATGCGAAAGAGAAATATACGAAACCAGAATTACTACTGAATACATTATTTGTGGGTTATTAAGGATGGGTCGATATTCTGATATCGGACTCGTTACCTACTAAACTGTCGAATTTGACCGCTTCTTCTATTTTTGCCAGTCACTTATTCATTTTATGAATCGAACTTGGGGAATTCCTACTCACTGTGTGTCTGCGTATGTGGCGCGGCCTTGGTGTAATCACTAGATTTAGAGCACCGTTTATCTAGATTCCCGAGTGATAAAAAAAACAGGAAATGTTCGCAAAAAGAGGACTTAAGTCAAAGTCGAACTAAATATTTTTACTTATTTTCTTACTTTATCAACAAGCGTGGCGTTCTCTTCTCGCATTTTCTTCGACGCGTTTCTTTCTTTTTGGAGTTCGTTTTCTAAACGCTTTATATAAATAGTTTTTGTATTGATTTCGTTTTTCATGTTTTCTAGTTCTGTAGACGTCTTCTGAAGTTTGTTTCTGAAATCGTCAAGTGCACTTTGTAGTTGTGTTTTTTCCTGAAAATGCTTATTTTAGATTGTATTTTTTTTAAAAGCGAGTGACTACTGCAGTTAAGGTGGCATTTTCCGTCCGGATCGTCTGCAGAATGCTTTCTATTCGTTGGTACTCGTTTGTTACTTCGCTACGTTTCATACATTCAGTGTGCGTTAAGTGTTTCAGGCAATTGACTTGTTTTTCTAAATTATTGATCTGAAACAATTTGTTTATTATGTTTGAGCAGATTGTTAAGTGAAAACCGAAAAATTAACGCAACATTTTAAAATTTTATTTTGCACAAGTTGAAATCGTACGTATGAACTGGCCTGCACGAAGTCCGGACCTCAATCCCATCGAGCATTTGATGTAATATTATGGAATTTATAAACCTATTATCTAAAAAAATAAAATTTTAAAATGTTGCGTTAATTATGCTCATCAAAAAAACAAATATTTGTCCAAGCTATGATGTATTGTTATGAAAATCCAAACCCTCCCACCCAAATATGGCCCTTTCATCGACCGTCCGCGCTCTACACAAATAACCTAATGACATAAGTTACTCCACAACCCGATGATTTCACATTATGATCGCCGTTTAATTATGTATCGTGGGGTGACAAACCTGATCCTGGCGGCGCCGTAGTGACTCAGATACCATCGCCAGGCGCGCTTTGCTACGGCGCCAAACGAACACAAGTATGCGGTGGTAAACCAATAGCTCCAGCTGACGACGCCGACGCTCCGCTTCGTCGTCGCGTCCAGACGGCGGCCCTTTCGCGTCACCCGCTGGAGGCCTAGGCGTCGCATGCAATGCCGCCGACGCACCGCCGTCTTGACGCTTCGCGGGCCTGCCAATGCAAACACATCACTTTTATTAGTCGGGAGTGCACAGATAGGGAGGCGCCTGGAAAGCGGCAACACGTAATACGTAACGATCGGTAATGAACTATTGAATTAATGATTAGGGGGGTTTTGGGCTCCGGTCGATTTAGCATTAAAATGGTTGAGGGCTAAATAGCTATGTGTGGATTGTCCCACTATCAATTGATAATGAAATCGCTGACCTTAAAAAAGATCGAAACTCGGAACCCATTTTGTTGTTTTGCATGCTTGTTAATGTATGCGTTCTATGTTGTGTAGAGTACCCAGAGGTGAATAATCATGTGTGAGGTTAACGTAAGATAGGTCGGGAAAAAGCCGGGTTTTCCCGCTTCAGTTCCGAAAGTGGTCAGGTTTATGTTCTTGGTTTAATTAAAGCGAGTTCTTCCGTTTGATTTTATGAGTCATGTTTTCGTCGCACGTGCACACCGAGGAACGTTTTTCGAAATAGGTGTCGTTTTTCACGAGCATTAGAATCATAAATTTTGATAAATTTTATGACTTATTGTCCTCCAGTGTCTACACTGGCAAAAAAGTCCGTGTGTTTGCTTAAACCAGTGAATTACCAGATCATTAGTATGATAAGAATAGTGTATGTGAAGGTCAACATGTGCACCTGCTCACAATAGCCGTACCCATTACAAAATATGTTAATTTCAAAAAATACTCCTCCTGTTCTTATTCTACGAATAAGCAATAATGAAACCGTAAAAACTTTGTTTTTTAATTCGAAAAAGATACATACTTTTTACGGACACTTTTGGTGGGTGTTATCTCGGCGACAGTTTTGGACTTCTTTAGCTTTCCTTGCTTGGCTTCGAGGTCATCCAGGACTTTCTTGAGTTTCAACTGGACGCTCTCGTCCCGGTTCAGCGTGGCCGTGAACTTCCTGGATGAGGGTACGGGGATGCGTTCCGAGGATCTGGTCAGGGATTTGATACCGTCACCGGCGCCTTTCATCTTCAGGGCAGTACTCTCTCGGCTTAGTTTTGACATTGTGGATGTTTTGACAAAGTTTTTTTGGTGGAGATTTTGTTTGCACAGACGACTATCATTCTTTGAGTTTTGCTATCGTCATTCATCACTAGCATTTTTATATTCCCTCGGCGGTATATTTCTGTACGAAAATTTACCATTATAACCATGTTTTAAGTTTCTTGTTGTAAGATTACGAATATTAAGAAAGAAACAGAAGTCATAATATAACCCCGCCCACCCACCCCACCTCGATTGTGAGGATTTTTTTTAATTGCCATGAGCCAGAGGGCGGAGCTTAATTGCAAAATCTGTACTGCCCTACAAACTTTTACCATTTTAAACTTGTTTGCAGTTTCTTGTTGTATTACCGAAAATTACGTATACTAAAAAAAGGCAAAATATAAGCCCCACCCATGCATAAAAAATCATCACAGCTGAGATAGGACGGGTGGGCGGGGCTTGCATTTTGTACTGTTTTCCTTACTGTACGCAGTTTTTTTTTCACAACCAAAAACTTAATATCAAAATGGTAAATTTTTTTAAGCAAATAGCGATTTTGCAATTACGCTCCGCCCCTTTGGTCTGACAAGGAATGAAAAAATAATCGGAATTGAGATGAGGGCGGGTGGGCGGGGTTTATATTTTGCCTTTTTTTTAATATATTGCTCTACGAAAATTCACCATTATGACAATGTTTTAAGTTTCTTGTTGTAGACAGAAGATTACGAATATTCAGAAAGAAACAGAAGTCATAAGATAAGCCCCGCCCACCCACCCCACCTCGATTGTGACGATTTTTTTAAATTGCCGTGACCTAGAGGACGGAGCTTAATTGCAAAATTGCGTATACTAAAAAAAAAAAGGCAAAATATAACCCCGCCCAGGCATAAAAAAGTCATCACAGCTGACATAGGTCGGGTGGGCGGGGCTTGTATTTTGTCCTGTTTTCTTACTGTACGTAGTTTCCTTTTCACAACTAAAAATTTAATATCAAATTGGTAATTTTTTTAAGTAAATATGGATTTTGCAATTACGTTCCGCCCTTTGGTCTGACAAGGAATGAAAAATTAATCGGAATTGAGATGAGGGCGGGTGGGCGGGGTTTATATTTTTTCTTTTATTTTAAATATGTTTCTCTATGAAAATTTACCATTATGACCATGTTTTAAGTATCTTGTTGTAAGATTACGAATATTAAGAAAGAAACAGAAGTCATAAGCTAAGCCCCGCCCACCCACCCCACCTCGATTGTGACGATTTTTTTTAATTGCCGTGAGCCAGAGGGCGGAACTTAATTGCAAAGTCAGTATTGCCCTACGAACTTTTACCATTTTAAACTTGTTTTCGGTTTCTTATTATCAAAAGAAAATTGCGTATATTAAAAAAAAGGCAAAATATAAGCCCCGCCCATGCATAAAAAATCATCGCAGTTGAGATAGGGCGGGTGGGCGGGGCTTGCATTTTGTCCTGTTTTCCTTACTGTACGTAGTTTTCTTTGCACAACTAAAAATTTAAAACTATCAAATTGGTAATTTTTTTTAAGCAAATATGGATTTTGCAATTACGTTCCGCCCTTTGGTCTGACAAGGAATGAAAAAATAATCGGAATTGAGATGAGGGCGGGTGGGCGGGGTTTATATTTTGCCTTTTTTTTAATATATTGCTCTACGAAAATTCACCATTATGACAATGTTTTAAGTTTCTTGTTGTAGACAGATGATTACGAATATTCAGAAAGAAACAGAAGTCATAAGATAAGCCCCGCCCACCCACCCCACCTCGATTGTGACGATTTTTTTAAATTGCCGTGACCTAGAGGACGGAGCTTAATTGCAAAATTGCGTATACTAAAAAAAAAAGGCAAAATATAACCCCGCCCAGGCATAAAAAAGTCATCACAGCTGACATAGGTCGGGTGGGCGGGGTTTGAATTTTGTCCTGTTTTTCTTACTGTACGTAGTTTTCTTTTCACAACTAAATACGTGAAACTATCAAATTGGTAATTTTTTTAAGCAAAGATGGATTTTGCAATTACGCTCTACCCCTCGGTCTGACAAGGAATGAAAAATTCATCGGAAATGGGATGAGGGTGGGTGGGCGGGGTTTATATTTTGCCTTTTTTAAAATATATTTCTCTACGAAAATGTTCCATTTTGACCACCTTTTAAGTTTGTTGTTGTAGAAAGAAGATTACGAAAATTAAGAAATAAACAGACGTCATAAGATAAACCCCGCCCACCCACCCCACCTCGATTGTGACGATTTTTTTTAATTGCCGTGAGCCAGAGGGCGGAACTTAATTGCAAAATCAGTATTGCCCTACAAACTTTTACCGTTTTAAACTTGTTTTCAGTTTCTTGTTATCAAAAGAAAATTGCGTATACTAAAAGAAAGGCAAAATATAAGCCCCGCCCATGCATAAAAAAATCATCACAGCTGAGATAGGGCGGGTGGGCGGGGCTTGCATTTTGTCCTGTTTTTCATACTGTACGTAGTTTTCTTTTCATAATCAAAAACTTAATATCAAATTGGTACATTTTTTTAAGCAAATATGGATTTTGCAATTACATTCCGCCCTTTTGGTCTGACAAGGAATGAAAAATTAATCGGAACTGAGATGAGGGCGGGTGGGCGGGGTTTATATTTTGCCTTTTATTTTAAATATGTTTCGCTACGAAAATTTACATTATGACCATGTTTTAAGTTTCTTGTTGTAGACAGAAGATTACGAATATTAAGAAAGAAACAAAGGTCATAAGATAAGCCCCGCCCACCCACCCCACCTCGATTGTGACGATTTTTTTTTTAATTGCCGTGAGCCAGAGGGCGGAGCTTAATTGCAAAATTAGTATTTACCTACAAACTTTTACCATTTTAAACTTGTTTTCAATTTCTTGTTTATTAAGGAAAATTACGTATACTAAAAAAAGGTAAAATATAAGCTCCGCCCATGCATAAAAAAATCATCACAGTTGAGATAGGGCGGGTGGGCGGGGCTTACACTTTGTCCTGTTTTTCTTACTGTACGTAGTTTTCGTTTCACAACTAAAAACTTAAATCTATCAAATTGGTAATTTTTTTAAGCAAAGATGGATTTTGCAATTACGCTCTACCCCTCAGTCTGACAAGGAATGAAAAATTCATCGGAAATGGGATGAGGGTGGGTGGGCGGGGTTTATATTTTGCCTTTTTTAAAATATATTTCTCTACTAAAATGTTCCATTTTGACCAGCTTTTAAGTTTGTTGTTGTAGAAAGAAGATTACGAATATTAAGAAAGAAACAGAAGTCATAAGAAAAGCCCCGCCCACCCACCCGACCTCGATTGTGACGATTTTTTTTTAATTGCCGTGAGCCAGAGGGAGGAGCGTAATTGCAAAATCTGTATTCCCCACAAACTTTTACCATTTTAAACTTGTTTTCAGTTTCTTGTTATCAAAAGAAAATTGCGTATACTAAAAAAAAATCCAAAATATAAGCCCCGCCCATGCATAAAAAAAATCATCACAGATGAGATAAGGTGGGTGGGCGGGGCTTGCATTTTGTCCTGTTTTTCTTACTGTACGTGGTTTTCTTTTCACAACCAAAAACTTAAATCTATCAAATTGGTATTTTTTAAGCAAATATGGATTTTGCAATTACGTTTCGTCCTTTTGGTCTGACAAGGAATGAAAAATTAATCGGAATTGGGATGAGGGCGGGTGGGCGGGGTTTATATTTTACCTTTTTTTTAAATATGTTTCTCTACGAAAATTTATCATTATGACCATGTTTTAAGTTTCTTGTTGTAGACAGAAGATTACGAATATTAAGAAAGCAACAGAAGTCATAAGATAACCCCGCCCACCGACCCCACCTCGATTGTGACGATTTTTTTTTATTGGCGTGAGCCAGAGGGCGGAGCTTAATTGCAAAACCAGTATTTCCCTACAAAATTTTACCATTTTAAACTTGTTTTCAGTTTCTTGTTGTATTAAGGAAAATTACGTATATTAACAAAAGCAAAATTTAAGCCCAGTCCATGCATAAAAAATCATCACAGCTGAGATAGGGCGGGTGGGCGGGGCTTATATTTTGTCCTGTTTTTCATACTGTACGTAGTTTTCTTTTCACAACCAAAAACTTAATATCAAATTGGTAATTTTTTTAAGCAAATATGGATTTTGCAGTTACGTTCCGCCCTGTTGGTCTGATAAGGAATGAAAAATTAATCGGAATTGAGATGAGGGTGGGTGGGCTGGATTTATATTTTCCTTTTGTAATATATATTTCTCTACGAAAATGTACCATTTTGACCACGTTTTAAGTTTCTTGTTGTGGAAAGAAGATTACGCATATTAAGAAAGAAACAAAAGTCAGAAGATAAGCCCCACCCACCCCAACTCGATTGTGACGATTTTTTTTATTCGTCGTGAGCCAGAGGAGGAGCTTAATTGCAAAATCAGCATTTCCCTAAAAAATTTACCACTTCAAACTTGTTTTCAATTTTTTATTATGAAAGAAAATGACGTACATATACTAAAAAAGACAAAATATAAGCCCCGCCCATGCATAAGGGGACAAGGGATGAAAAATTAACCGAAATTGAGATAGGGGTGGGTGGGCGGGGCTAAGTTTAACTTTCTCCTAGAGTAACAGAAATCGTTCGGGAGTGCCATGTTTACAACCGCCACTTGAGATTGTGTTCACGGGGTCGGGTTACAATTTCCCTACAGTGTATGTTGTTGTTTATATTAATCGTTGCGTTGTTTATGTTTACTTTTCTTTAATAACCCCTGTTATTACGTTGTCATTATTACCGCATTTCCTTTGTACGAGTATCTTTACTTTTATTTTTAATGTGTCTGGCAGCCTCCGAAGTCCAACTCCCAATACTCGGAACTGTCGTTATCTAATAAGACGCCTCCGCGCAATTATCTTCTCCGAATAGGTGTATTTTTTTGCATAAATTAGTGACTCCATATTAAATTATCATAATAAACTACTTGGAGCGTAAACACGCTCGCATAATGCTCGCAAATAGAGGCTCACCGGCCCCTAAAAATAGCAAATAATATAACAGCCCATTATAGTATAAATAGTGCAATCTTAGCGAAAAAAACACCAAACGTCACTCCTGGGCCGTCTCCCGCGTGACGTCAGCCGTGGTAAAACCCCGTGATTGCGCTCGCCGGAGAAAGTCCCATTAACTCCTGCAGCAGCTGTTATCTCCTGCAAGCGCTCGGTTCCTGCGACGCGCTTCGAACCTGCGCGGTAGCTCAATGACGTCCAGCCTATGGTCACGTGTTCGTCGGCCAATCAAGACCAGTTTCGCCGCTGGTCCGTTCCGCGAATTGCTCTACGCTCATCGCTTCTTAAAATAAGTCCTTTCGGTCTTCATTTTGGTCCCGTTTGTTGCGAGGCGAGGTCGTGATCGAACGTTTCGGCCATCGAAGCTGGCGTTGGAAACTAAAGGTGCACGTGGACGGTGTTGTGATGACCTTGAAACTTTTCAAGAATTCGTCTAGTGTGACCGGGTATTATGCGTGAGGTGAGTTGTTTGGTGTTTGGTGCTAGTTTTCATCATCATTCGCATCCCATTTTTTGAGTAAATTTTTCTCCTCAAGGATCTGTAACGAGAGAACAGCGCCAGTAAAAATAGTCATGGACGAAAATATAGGTGTGTAATAGTCATTGTTTTTTGTCGATTTTGTTTTGTTGGTTTGCGACGCATGCTAGACTTGTTGCTAAAAGCGTTTGCTTCAGCTACCTCTCTTACCGACCGGAGAAAGTATACGACTTTTTTGAAATTGTTTGCCGAATCGCTCAAACAAAAGTTCGAGAACAGGCGACGCGGTTCTGGTATTTTTAGAGTTGCAGCAGTTAGATCGCCATTATTTATATTTAACTTGAAGATTTTAATATTTGCGTGTTGGTAGCGCTTTGTTGCTAAACAAGCGACTTAGATTAAGTAAAGGAGCGACCAATGAGCTTTACTTAAACCTGGCGGCTAACATAAACAATGAATCACGGAAGGATAGATCGACTCATGTAAAAACCGGACTTAATTAAAACGTAAATGTCATTAACAAGATTTGAGAACATCGGAGAATGCAGATTTCGCTTATCTCGCCCGAAGACGCGTTTTGTTTTGACATATATTTTGGTAGGTCATCGCCCCAACTGATATTTTTAAATTAGTTTGGTTTTATTGTGCATTTTTGTGAAATCTTAATTTTGTAATCGCAATCCGACGCTTTTATCATTCTATGGATGAGTTCAGTGCCAATTCAAATACGTGGGCGGCGATGATTGTGAATCTACACAGGAATTAGGATCTGAATTTTGGGCCAGGAATAGAATTTTGATTTAACTAGGTCGGTCCTGTACTGTGCTGGTAAAAAATAAATGTTGATTAAGTTCGTACCTATACCGAACATCGAAAGAATGCGAGATGGAAAAACAAGTTTTTGGCACGTAAGGTATCGCTTTTCGTGGAAGTTTTCACTCATCGTATAAATAATAACCGAAATAGTTTAGGAAGACTGAATGAAACGGTCTTTTTTTTTGGACGGAAAATGCTTGAAACCTAACACTTTTTTTTCGCATATATTTGACATTATTGCTTAGTAATTCTTTATTTAGAGTTAAGAAAAATGAGTATATTTTTTAAGAAACGTCCGTAATGATTTTTTTATGCAGATTATGCGGTTCAACATTATGAGTGTAATCTGTTTTTAAAGTACATAAATAGTAACGTAATGCAAATTTTAATTATCACGTCCAAATATGTATATGTCAGTGTAAAATGAAGGTTTAAAACCGAGTTTGTCCTGATCGCACATACAGAGAGAAGATGTAGTCCTTTGTGTGCTTGCTTCTGGAAAGAATGACATTCTTTCGTTTTACAGCCCTTTCGAACCGCAGCTTTTCCAAGAAATTTGTACCTGCCTGACAGGGTCTTTAGCTGTACAATAAAACTGACGGCAGGGTTGCAAAAGGATTAACTTTGGGAGTCCATAAAATTCTTAGAATTCTAGACAAACTTCACTAACATCATTATAAATATAGTAGGGTTTTTGTTGCAATCGAAGACAAAAAGAAACTGTTTAATGAACCCAACTCTGGACATTTTAACTTTGAGAAAATTTTGGTTCAATTTCAAGCTTTCAAGTATAAATCTTGTTTTGCTGCGGATAATATTTATACAAATGGTGAAATTACAGGAGATGCTTTTAACATTATCAGTAATAGTGTTCAGTATGAGTCAACGACTAGTTTCGATCACCGCCCACCAACCCTTGGTGCCTGACAAGAGTTCGGGACCACAGAGAAAGCATTTTTTCAGGCAGTCAAAAAATCGAAATATGAAATATGCACATTCCGAAAATTGAGAAATTGATAAATCGAGAATTCGGAAAATGCAGAAACTGAGAAATTGGAAGAAACTGAGGAATCGAAGAATTAAAACGAAAAATCTAAAATTGAAACGCCAAAAATCGAAATATCGTAAATTGAAGAACCGAAAAATAGAAAAATCCAGAAATCGAAAAATCATAGAGTAAGAAGACGAAAAATCGGCAATTGGAAAAATCGGAAAATCAAAACGAAAAATCAAGCACTGAGAACTCGAAAAACCGAAAAATCTAGAGAATAGAAAATCAAAAAATGAAGGAATTGAGAAATGGAAAAATTGAGGAATGGAATATACCAACAATCCAAAAAATGAAAAATTGAGAATTCGAAAAACTGAAAAAATAAAAAATCGAACATTCGAAAAAAAATCGAAAAATACAGAATCAGGAATGCAGGAAAAATTTGAAAATGCGAAATCGAGGAGTTGGAAAGTAAAGAAATTGAAAATAAAAAACAGAGAAATTGAGGAATTGGCAAATCAAGAAATCGGGAAATTGAGAAATCGAAAATTCGAAATATCGAAAATTGAAAATCAGTGACAAAAAACGAAAAACTGAGAATTGGAAAAATCGGAAAATCGAACATTCGAACAATCCAAAAAAAGAAAAATCCAGAAATCGAAAAATCATAGAGTAAGAAATACGAAAAATCGGCAGTCGGGAAATAGAGAATCGGAAATTGAGAAACTCAGAATAAAGCAATTGAGAATTCGAAAAACCGAAAATGAAAATGCGAAAAATCGAAAAACTGAAAAAATTAAAATCGAGAAACTGAAAATCGAACGTTCGAAAAAAAATCAAAAACTTCAAAAAATCGAAAATACAGATACAGGAATACAGGAAAAATTTGAAATTGCGAAATCGAGAAGTTGGAAAGTAAAGAAATTGAAAATAAAAAACAGAGAAATTGAGGAATTGGCAAATCAAGAAATCGGGAAATTGAGAAATCGAAAATTCGAAATATCGAAAATCGAAAAATCTTACAGTGAAAAAACGAAAAACTGAGAATTGGAAAAATCGGAAAATTAAAACGAAAAATCCGAAAATTAAAATACCGAAAGTCAAAAAATAGAGCAATCAAAAAATAAACAAATTGACAAATTGAGGAATAGAGAGATAGAAATCGAGAAACTGAGAATGAAGAAATTGAGAAATCGAATAATTGGGGAATCGAACATTTGAACAATCCAAAAAATGAAAAATTGAGAATTCTAAAAATGAAATTGAAAATTTGAAAAATCGAACATTCGAACAATCCAAAAATGTTAAAAATCCAGAGAAACGAAAAATCAAGAACTGAGAATTCGAAAAACCGAAAAATCGAGAGAATAGAAAATCAAAAAATGAAGAAATTGAGAAATTGGAAAATAGAGAAATGAAAATCGAGAAACTGATGAGAATGAAATAATTGAGAAATCGAATAATTGGGGAATCGAACATTTGAACAATCCAAAAAATAAAAAATTGAGAATTCGAAAAACCGAAAATGAAAATTCGAAATATAGAAAAATCGAAAAACTAAAAATCGAACAATCGAAAAAAAAAATCAAAAAATCGAAAAATACAGAATTAGGAATACAGGAAAAATTTGAAATTGCGAAATCGATAAGTTGGAAAATAAAGAAATAAAAAATAAAAAACACAGAAATTAAGGAATTGGCAAATTGATAAATCAAGAAATCGGGAATGGGGAAATTGAGAAATCGAAAATTCGAAATAACGAAAATCGAAAAATCTTACAGTCAAAAAAACGAAAAACTGAGAATTGGAAAAATCGGAAAATCAAAACGAAAAATCCGAAAATTAAAATATCGAAAGTCGAAAAATTGAGAAGCAAAAAATAAACAAATTGACAAATTGAGGAATAGAGAAATAGAAATCGAGAAACTGAGAATGAAGAAATTGAGAAATCGAATAATCGAGGAATCGAATATTTGAAAAATCCAAAAAATGAAAAATTGAGAATTCGAAAATGGAAAAATGAAAATGAAAATTCGTAAAATCGAAAAACTGAACAATCCAAAAAAATTAAAAATCCAGGAATCTAAAAATCATATAGCCAAAAAACAAAAAATTGAGAATAAAAAAAACGAAAAATTTAAAAATCGAAATTTCGAAAAAAAATCGAAAACTTCGAAAAATCGAAAAATGCAGATTCAAAAATGGAGAAATTTGAAATTGCGAAATCGAGAACTAGGAAAATAATGAAATTGAAAATAAAAAAATATAGGAATTAAGAAATTGTGAACTCGAAAAATAGAGAAGTCGGGAAACTGAGAATCGAGAAATTGAGAAATCGAAAAACTGAAAAATCGAACATTCGAACAATCAAAAAAGTTAAAATCCAGAAATCTAAAAATCATATAGTCAAAAAAACGAAAAATTGAGAATAAAAAAACGAAAAATCAAAACGAAAATTCACAAAATGCAAAAAAAAACAAAAAATTTAAAAATTTAAAAATCGAAATTTCGAAAAAATCAACAACTCCGAAAAATCGAAAAATGCAGATTCAAAAATGGTGAAATTTGAAATTGCGAAATCGAAAACTCGGAAAATAATGAAATTGAAAATAAAAAAATATAGGAATTGAGAAATTGTGAACTCAAAAAATAGAGAAGTCGGGAAACTGAGAATCCAGAAATTGAGAAATCGAAAAACTGAAAAATCGAACATTCGAACAATCCAAAAAAATTAAAAATCCAGAAATCTAAAAATCATATAGTCAAAAAAACGAAAAATTAAGAATAAAAAAACGAAAATTCGCAAAATGCAAAAAAAACAAAAAATTGAAAAATTTAAAAATCGAAATTTCGAAAAAATCAACAACTTCGAAAAATCGTAAAATGCAGATTCAAAAATGTAGAAATTTGAAATTGCGAAATCGAGAACTTGGAAAATAATGAAATTGAAAATAAAAAAATAGAGGAATTGAGAAATTGTGAACTCGAAAAATCGAGAAATCGAAAGTTCGAAATATCGAAAATCGAAAAATCTTACAGTCAAAAAAACGATATTGAGAATTGAAAAAATCGGAAAATCAAATCGAAAACCAAGAATTGAGAACTCGAAAAACCGAAAAACCGGAAAATTAAAATATCGAAAATCGAAAAATAGAGCAATCCAAAAAATGAGAAACTGAAAATTCGAAAGCTCGCAAAATTAAAATAGAAATTTAAAAAATCGGAAAAACGATAAACTGGAACTCGAAAAGTCGAAAAATTGAGAAGCAAAAAATTAACAAATTGACAAATTGAGGAATAGAGAAATAGAAATCGAGAAACTGAGAATGAAGAAATTGAGAAATCGAAAAATGGAAAAATGAAATTGAAAATTCGAAAAATGGAAAAACTGAAAAAACGGAACATTCGAACGATTCAAAAAAATGAAAAATCCAGAAATCTAAAAATCAGTCAAAAAAACGAAAAATTGAGAATAAAAAAAAACGAAACTTCGCAAAATGCAAAAAAAAAATAAATCGAAAATTTAAAAATCTAAATTTCGAAAAAAATTAAAAACTTCGAAAAATCGAAAAATGCAAATTCAAAAATGGTGAAATTTGAAATTGCGAAATCGAAAACTCGGAAAATAATGAAATTGAAAATAAAAAAATATAGGAATTGAGAAATTGTGAACTCAAAAAATAGAGAAGTCGGGAAACTGAGAATCCAGAAATTGAGAAATCGAAAAACTGAAAAATCGAACATTCGAACAATCCAAAAAAATTAAAAATCCAGAAATCTAAAAATCATATAGTCAAAAAAACGAAAAATTGAGAATAAAAAAACGAAAATTCGCAAAATGCAAAAAAACAAAAAATTGAAAAATTTAAAAATCGAAATTTCGAAAAAATCAACAACTTCGAAAAATCGTAAAATGCAGATTCAAAAATGTAGAAATTTGAAATTGCGAAATCGAGAACTTGGAAAATAATGAAATTGAAAATAAAAAAATAGAGGAATTGAGAAATTGTGAACTCGAAAAATCGAGAAATCGAAAGTTCGAAATATCGAAAATCGAAAAATCTTACAGTCAAAAAAACGATATTGAGAATTGAAAAAATCGGAAAATCAAATCGAAAACCAAGAATTGAGAACTCGAAAAACCGAAAAACCGGAAAATTAAAATATCGAAAATCGAAAAATAGAGCAATCCAAAAAATGAGAAACTGAAAATTCGAAAGCTCGCAAAATTAAAATAGAAATTTAAAAAATCGGAAAAACGATAAACTGGAACTCGAAAAGTCGAAAAATTGAGAAGCAAAAAATTAACAAATTGACAAATTGAGGAATAGAGAAATAGTAATCGAGAAACTGAGAATGAAGAAATTGAGAAATCGAAAAATGGAAAAATGAAAATGAAAATTCGAAAAATGGAAAAACTGAAAAAACGGAACATTCGAACGATTCAAAAAAATGAAAAATCCAGAAATCTAAAAATCAGTCAAAAAAACGAAAAATTGAGAATAAAAAAAAACGAAACTTCGCAAAATGCAAAAAAAAAATAAATCGAAAATTTAAAAATCTAAATTTCGAAAAAAATTAAAAACTTCGAAAAATCGAAAAATGCAAATTCAAAAATGGAGAAATTTGAAATTGGGAAATCGTGAACTCGGAAATTAATGAAATTGAAAATAAAAAAATAGAGGAATTGAGAAATCGAAAATTCGAAATATCGAAAATCGAAAAATTTTACAGTCAAAAAAACGATAAATTGAGAATTGAAAAAATCGGAAAATCAAAACGAAAACCAAGAATTGATAACCCGAAAAATCGGAAAATTAAAATATCGAAAATCGAAAAATTAAAATAGAAATTTGAAAAAACGAGAAGCTGGAACTCGAAAAGTCAAAAAATTGAGAACCAAAAAATGAACAAATTGAGAAATCGAAAAGTTGAGGAATCAAACATTTGAACAATCCAAAAAATGAAAAATTGAGAATTCAAAGAATCGAAAAATGAAACTGCAAATCCGAAAAATTGAAAAATCAAACATACAAAATGAAAAATTCAGAAGTCTAAAAATCATACAGTCAAAAAAAACGAAAAATCGAGTTAAAATTATACTAGTCCAAAAGGTATAAGGTTATATGACCATCATAAAAGTAATCTTCTAAACATTTCTTGCTCACATTTAACAGGGCCGGCTTTCAAAGCGAGTGATTATGTCGGAACCCTCAGCGGCTGCAGGTAGTAAAGAAACAGTGGATTTACATATTTAGTGAAAGTCCACCCTGAACGAAACCACAACAGCCGGTCGAGCTGCAGTGGACACGTTATTTACGACCCTAAAACCTTTTCTGTTGTAAACAACTTAACTTCGACACAATGGGATGATTTTATGATGGCCATATAACCTTATAGCTTCTGGTCTACTATACCTATTTTTCTGACTGAATACTTTATTTTTGGTTAATAATTTCCCGTTCTAGCGTCAGCTTGACCATTTAAAATAATTTCATTTGTCGCTTCTTGATTTTTTTTTTGGTACACATGTAGGTATCTATTTTTGCATGCAATACGTACTAGTAGACAGTGTATAGAAATGTAGCTGTCATAGACAACGTTACTCTTTGTACTACGTTAAAAAAAAAAACAACTAAAAAAAATAATTAATTCTTGAGGGAATCTTGGAGGTGGTAATTTAACACCGCTCAACTCAAGCTGGGCTTCAGCCAATCACGTCATTAAGCCTACATTCTTTTGCATTCCAGTATCTTGAATCATAAGCGAAATATTGCTTGTAAAACAAAAGTCCGAAATAAATAAACTATTGTATTTAGTCATCGTTAATTTTACTTTTGGTGGTTAAGTTGTTTTTCTTAGCCTCCGTAAAGCTCAAGCAAATAATAGTATGATAACAAATCATAGCAGTTTTTAAATTTTAGGCTTAATAATTTCTACTCTTGAAAACCTACCAAATGTTCGTATCTTCACTACGTTAACAATCATTGTTCTCTCAATATTTTCTTCCACAAAACTAAGTATATAATGCGATGGTCTTTGGCGTGTTGTATGTGATGTGTCTATATATGTGTGTGACCACCTTAATGTGTAGTGTAACTAACCCTTTTTGTACCGGACCGTTAGCCACCTGAAGGTTAATTGCTCTAGCGCTAAGATTAGGATTAGGGGTATCATTGCACTGGCGGTTTCCCGCCTTCTTACTCGCAAGAATCCGAAGTGCGCAACGCATTGAGAATAATGCTATGGATAAAACAAAAAAGTATGTAACCGTAGTTTTTTTTTTTGTTTGTTTTGGTCACAAACATAGCAAAAGCGAAAGTCACTAGTCAAAATTACGAGATGCTAGCTTATTCAGCACAAAATGCAAAGGCGTCAAATAGCTAGAAGTGAAACCTTGAGTTGCTGTTTACATCGAAAAATTGCAGCAGCTCTTACAAAATTCAGAGGCAGTAGGGCTTCGAGGTAACCAATGACGTCAATGGCGCAAAGAAAGGAGGCAACCAACCTGCTTAACTGTAATCAGCAAGATTTAGAAAGTCGCGTTGATTGCTGACGCACAAAATGAAAATGTGTCAATTTAAATATCAAAATCGATGAAAAAGTACATATGCGTAAACGTTACATAATAGTTACCTGCTGAGAGTCTTGAGGGCATTTTTAGTCCTATTTTCAGTCGGTGCCAATGACTCCGGGTAATTCTACCCGTGCGAAAAAATAAATCATGCGGTATTTTTATTTCTTGAATCAATGATAAGGGTAGCGGCACACGTGTATACCAAGTCTACAATGTGCCGCTTCTGTTGGACTCTTCCCAATTCCACCCCCGCACTAAACCGCCGCGTACTTTATAAATCACTCATTTCTTTTTTTAGAAATTGCATAAAGCCTTTATCGCACAAACAAATAACCCTGTCGCAATACATCGTATCGTATCATTAAATATGGAATTTAGATAATGACGAACTAATTACTTAATGAATAATGTTTAATGTGTCTGAGACAATTAAGCGTCGTCACAAACAAAAGTTGTGTAATTAAGCAATCGCACTTCCTGTTTTGTTACCGGCTGTAATGTTTCGATGCCGAATTTTCAGTAAACCTCCACGTTTTCTGTTTTCTAAGTACGTTTATGCTATTTTTCAGCATGTCATAGCTGGGTTGTTGGTTGTTAACTACTAATGAAGTTTATTTTGAAGCTTAAACTGAATGGCACTCCAGTTTCTCTGTCATAACATGCTTGCGCAGTGTAGTTGGTAGGTAGATGTTTTCTTTCCAACGTTCTCTCATTCTTTATTAATCACCTCATTCAAAAGTAGGTTTATCACTGCACTGATTCTGGCAGTTATAAACATTCATTTTCCACTTACAGAAAATTGTTCAATTGTATCCACTCCTAAAATTGATTTTGTACTATTAGATAATCCCATCGACAATGCCAGAGGGATGCGCGATGAAAGCATTAATATAAGTGATGTCAGTAAGTATCATCTCACCACTGAGTGTTTGTTCGATTACGCTCACCACTTTGTCTTCCAGTTGAAGTTATCGAAACCGACCCGGACTTCAAAGAGTCCACGATGTTCAACGGTGGCGGCGAAATCCCTCAACCAGTCATCCAACAACAACAGCAAGCGCACCAGAGCCGACGCAGGGCCTACGTAAAAATCGTCGAACAGCCGGCATCCAAAGCCCTCAGGTTCCGGTATGAGTGTGAAGGACGCTCCGCTGGTTCCATCCCCGGCGCTTCCAGTACCCCCGAAAACAAGACTTTTCCCTCGATTCAAGTCGTGGGGTACCAGGGAAGGGCAGTGGTGGTCGTTTCATGTGTAACGAAGGACGAACCCTACAGACCGCACCCCCACAACTTGGTGGGTCGAGAGGGCTGCAAGAAGGGAGTGTGTACCATGGAGATCTCGTCGGAGACCATGTGTGTGACGTTCTCGAATTTGGGGATCCAGTGTGTGAAGAAGAAAGACATTGAGAGTGCGTTGAGGCTTAGAGAGGAAATTAAAGTGGACCCGTTTATGAGTAAGTAAAAAAAAAATAAACCAGTGTCGAAGTCCCCCTATTAATTTCCCCGTAATGTAACGATTGTGATCTACATTGTAGCTGGCTTCAGTCACCGGAATCAGCCCACCTCCATCGACCTAAACGCTGTGCGCTTGTGTTTCCAAGTATTCCTAGAGGGCGAACGCCGGGGTAAATTCACCGTCCCTTTGACTCCCGTAGTCAGCGAGCCCATTTATGACAAAAAAGCGATGTCGGATCTCCTCATTGTTAAACTATCGCATTGCAATAGCTACGTGGACGGCGGAAGAAACGAGATCATCCTTCTCTGCGAGAAAGTACGTTTCGTTTTGTCATAATATCAATTTTTGTTAATTTCGCGTCTTCAGGTCGCCAAGGAGGACATACAAGTGCGGTTTTTCGAAGAGAAAAACGGAAAAGTCGTTTGGGAGGGCTTCGGCGACTTTCAACCCTCTCAGGTGCACAAGCAAACGGCGATTTGTTTCAAGGCACCTCGCTACCACACTTTAGATATCACCGAACCCGTCAAAGTCTTCATCCAGTTGAGAAGACCGTCAGATGGAGCCACGAGTGAAGCGCATCCCTTCGAATTTTTGCCATTAGATTCAGGTAGGCCTCTATATTGGTCGTTTAGGAGAAATTACGCGAAAAAAGGCAACTATAACCTGTTTAGTACGTTATTGGCGAGTGACGCTAAACTGTCGAAACAAGGACAGATGGAACGCGAGAAAAAATCAGAAGAATTGACTGAGAAAGCAACGAGCGTGGATACGGCAGAAACTAATAATAACGATATATACGCGGAGAATTACTCAAAAGTGCAGAAAGAACCAACCAAAGAGAAGTCTTTCAATGAGTTGATTAACCAAGTGGCCGAACTCGATGAGATATACTCCGAGACGCAAGCACGTCTGCTCAATGAAGCTCTGAGGGATATTGGTAAACCTCAGTACGAAGAGTCGTTCGACGACGGCAAAACCTACTCGAGCTTACAACTAGCCTTTAAAAACCCCATCGACATCGTCGATGATGAACCAGAAGAAATCATCGAACCGCAGAGTCCGATTGTAGACGTAAGCGTCGCAAATGTGGCACCTCCCAGCCCGATCCTAGACGCAGCTGACCGAACTATTGCAGACGGAAGTCCTCGCAATAAACGCGAAAGTCCCGAGAAGCCTCCACTACCACCCAAACGTACCAAAAAAATTGAAACCTACATCGGGAATTCAGTACAAGATTTGAACGAAAAGACCCCTGAGACGCCTCGGGTGTCGGTGAGTCGTTCGCACTCCTTCAGCATGACGCGACCTAAATCAGAAGAGTTTGCGCCTCTAACAAAACTACCACCGACTCCCTGTTCCACGCTCCCTAACCCGAAGAAGAAAGGACTTTTCTCCAAGTTGTTCGGTCGTAAAAATAAAACCCCTGCTGCGTCACGCGAGGCTAGTCTTTCTCCGTCTTTCCGTACCGAGAATTTGGGTTGCAGTGCTACCAACATTTCGACCACGTCCGCTACTAGTATAAGAATCCCGTTGAAAGATAGTCCGACGGCTAGCATAAACGACGGTAATCAGGATACTGTAATGCAAGATTTGACACTCAATTTGGATTTGACTGAAGCTGAACACTACGCTTTGTACACCGCTATGGCGCCACACGCCACTCAGAGCGAGTTTGACGAAATGTCGTGCTACTACGCACCGGTCGAAGGCGGGAAGATTTTGACAAACAGTGAAATGTTGGCAAGACTGACGTCAAAAACGTGATCTGTTTTCGTTTAACTCTGTTGTATCTACTTTTTGTACCTATTTTGATAACTGTTGCATGATTGAATTATTTATGCAATCCACTGTATTGAAACGTTTATTTATCTAAGGTTATTTTTAGAGCCGGGTATGCTTAAAAGAAAGCGGCAGAAATACCATGACCCCACTCAGTTGTTGAGGCATGTTGAGGAAAGTGAGAAGAGTAAGTTTTTTTACTATTTACTGGTGATGGGGGTCAGGTTTGAGGTTATTGATTGGCGAACGAAACGCCAATCAGTAATCGGGTTAGGATGTTCCAATGTTTTTGTATTGTCGGACACAATAGTTTTACTTTTTACACGACGAAACGATTTATGGTGTTTGTTTTCTCCTAGTCTATTAAATCTAGTCACTGTTATTGTTTACTTTTACTGGATTGATTACAGAGTTACTTATGTGTGTTGATGTTCTTGTTCGGAAAGTTTAAGTAGATTGTTAGAGTTTTTTAAAAGCTTTATATCTTTATATCGGCTGAAATATAAAGTTTTTTACCAGTAAAAGGTGTTTTATTCTCTTTAAAGTTGCAGCAGAACGTGATAAGAGGACTTAAAGGTACATCTGTGTGATGGCGTGTTTTTTATTTAGTCACGTATTTAAATGCATGTTCGTAGTCGTTTTTCGAAGCTGCAATGATTAGATTTTGAAGCTATTGTGTTTTTCGGTTATCGACCAATAACAACTAGCTGTCCACGACGCAGATTGTTATTGGGCGACAACCGGTGGGCGTTGCATGAGTAGTCCAACAGCAAACAACTACCGTGACACGTGATCCACGTAGCTGACTGCTGTTATTCCAAAATTGTATGATTGTCATCCTGCAACTAGACGCTTTTGTATATTCGCAAATAACGCACTCGACCCCACTAACCCTATCGACGTCCTTGTCCCTTCTTTACGTTTTTTTTTTTATGTTCGCAGGAACGAACCAAGGATACTTACTCAACATCCCGATGGAGGGCATCAAAGTGGAACCAAGAGGTAATTTTAAACTACACACGTTTAAAAAACGCCGGGCGCATGCCTTCACCACTAAAAAATGCTAAAATCATTCGTCTTTGTCCAGACAAAGCTCCTTCCCCCTACGGCGGCCAAATGTTCGAGACCGTCAGCCCCGCTCACAACGTGTCGCCGCAATACGTCGGTGCTACCCCTCCCCCTGGTGACGTCCTCTTCAATCAAGCCGTACTACCCCCGATTGAGATCCTCAACTGGAATATGCCGTCGACGTCAGTGGCCAACCCGATCAACATCAACTGGAACGTGACGCCGCAGAACGACCTTTCCGCCGTCAACCTCGAAAGTGCGACTGGTGTGACTAGTTTTTTGAACTTGGACAGCCACCAGATGGAGCTGAAGCCCATCGATCTAAACTCCGGCGATCTGAGTATGCTGGAGACGAACAATTTGTCGGAGACTTTTACTCAGAACTTGTCTCTGACCGACATCGGCGGTCGGGCGGACCAGAACATGACCGACAGTTTAACGCGGTTGGCGAACTGCGCTTTTGAAAAAATCGGGCACAATCCGCCGCAGTAAGTCAAGGGCCGGTGCACGGCAGGTCTGCTTTAACTCTCAAAGGTGTGCAATTTAAGTGGATGAAAGCTTTGAAAGGTCTGCTTGTAAAATAAAATATGTTTAAGTTTAGACAGAGATATGAGGAGGCGAGGAGCAGGAAAAGAACAAACGTGAAACTGATTTTTTACTTATGTCTCGTAGGATATTAAGTAAATAAGTAGGTAAAACGTGGTGGCAATATTTATTTTTATTGTACCATAATTTAAGATAAGTTATCTGCTGATAGAAAATGTTGAGACAGACTATGAGTAGTCTTTTTAATTGTTGGTTTTACTCTTTAATTTTATTAAGTATGTTTAATGCTAGCTTTTTGCATACTGTTTTACGAGATGAAGTGAAGATGTTGAAGTATTTTTGGTTTTATCTTAGGAAAAATGTGGACATAGTTAAGATATTAAAGTGTGATTCACTTCACTGTACTGTGATCAAAAGAAAAAAAAACGTGCAAATATCTTTATTTTTTGTAAAAATGCATTTTATAATTTCACATATTTGTAAATGTGTAATAAATTTGTTATTCATTGAAATTTTGGAATTGTTTTTTTGATACATTTATACTATAGTCAGATGGAACACGAAAAACATCTGCTGGGATCTTCTCAGCCATAGCTACACAAGGTAAGCAGTGTAATAAGTTATTTTTATAATGTAAAGTAGAAGATAAACTTATCCAAATTAACTTCAAAATTAAGAGTTAAAAAAAACAGTAATTAGGCGCTCCTCAAAATGACCTATTTGTTATGAAAATTTCCCTTTGTTATCACTAGGGACGTAAAAATAAAAACAACTATTATTTTCATTTAATTATATTTAAAGCAGTATGTAGACATTTTTTCATATATTTTCAAAGAGATAGGTACCTAAAATTTTCTTGTTATAACGCGTAGTATCTACACTGACCTTAGAATACTACCGGACATGTCACACATATACTGTTACACTGTTAGGTATTTATCGCCCACGTTATAAGCATAAATTATAGCTACCAAAGTTGTTTTCTAAATGTGATCAAATTACAGACCAAGTTATTTAATTATTATTATTATGAGTATTTTTGCAACTGTCCTTGATTAAGCCGTTTAGTATAAATTAACGCCTCAGTCATAAAACATCCTTGAAACGCCTCTCAGATCAAGGTCACATCAATCGATACCGGCTTAACTGGCCCCACTCGGCCCACCTCAAAGACGTTTTAAGCTCGATAAACATGTTTTCCATCGCTTGATAAAAATAAATTATACAATTGTGTAAATTGCGATAACCCGAAGCCACACGACTTATTTAAATTACAATAGGAGGGCCTGGTCTGTGTCGCTTAATTTACTGTACAATTGGTTTTGATAGAATATAGACGTCGACGATGGCCTCGCTGCGAAAGACTACTGTAAGTATATTTTTTTTTAACTACTTAACCCTACTTTTTGCATGTGGTTATTCGAAATTTTTATAAATCAGCTGATATTTAACAGGTTTTTTTTTATGGAAATGTGGATTAAAGGGCGAGTTTAAAATGTATTTGGTGTGTACAACAAGATGCTTCAAGGTCGCATTTGTTGCATTCAATGGCATTCATTAACTTCTTGAACCCATGACCTTATCACTGTTGGTCAAATATTCCGTTAGTAACAACCAGCGATAAACATTCCGTACCTGTAATTACTGATTGCGAAGTTGATAACAACATTCCTGCGTTTGTTTGAACATTATAGCCGTGAAATTGTCAGAGAAATGGAACAGAATCTTTTTTTATCTAAGAAAAAGATCATTTTCTAACTTTAGTTTGCAACCTCATTTTAATAGTTTAAGCTGGTTTAAGGTTGTAAAAAACTATATCTTGAAAATTAGTTTTTGAAAATTTTAAAATTTGTAAAGTTCGGCAAAAGATAAATGCAAATGACTCCAATTATGGAATATTGCCGCTGTAAAATCTCCAGTCGCTTTCGAAGCTGTACCCTGTGTAAAGCTGTCAATCAGAGTTAGTGGCTACCCTTGTACCTTTCCAGGACCGTATTTGTTCTCTAGTAAAAGCATTTCTAAAATGTTTCCGCTGACGTTGCTTTTAGAGCTGAAAACTGTCATTTATAAACTCCGTTGCCAAGTTGCTGTTGATAGTAACTTTTGCCGTACTCAATGGGGTTGTAGAAGAAAAATGGAGGATTTAAGTTGATTACTACAAAAATTTATCATTTTAGACATGTTTTAAGTTTCTTGTTGTCGAAATAAATCTGCACATACTAAGAAAAAAAGGCAAAATATAGCCCCGCCCACCCACCCTATCTCAATTGTGATGATTTTTTTCTGCAAAATCCTTATTTTTCTACGAGAAATTAAAACATGTTTTTGAGAATCGTATGTACATTTAGAAAAAAATAAAGCCAAATATGAGGCCCCACTCATACCCGCCACGATCTCAATCCTCAATTGTGATGAATTTTAAACGTGTTTTAAGTTTGTAAGAATAAAAAAATAATCAAAATTGAGATGGGGTGGGTGGGCGGGGTTTATATGTTGCCTTTTTTTCTTAATATGCATAGTATTCATTGAACAGTACGATACTCAAAAACATGTTTTTAATTTATTGTAAAGTTTCTTGTTGTCGAAATAAATCTACACATACTAAGAAAAAAAGGCAAAATATAACCCCGCCCACCCACCCTATCTCAATTGTGATGATTTTTTTCTGCAAAATCCTTATTTCTCTACGAGAAATTAAAACATGTTTTTGAGAATCGTATGTACATTTAGAACAAAATAAAGCCAAATATGAGGCCCCACTCATACCCGCCACGATCTCAATCCTCAATTGTGATGAATTTTAAACGTGTTTTAAGTTTCTAAGAATAAAAAAATAATCACAACTGAGATGGGGTGGGTGGGCGGGGTTTATATTTTGCCTTTGTTTCTTAATATGCATAGTATTCTTTGAACAATACGATACTCAAAAACATGTTTTTAATTTATTGTAAAGAAATAAGTATTTTGCAGTTAAGCTTTTGTCTTTTCGTTTTCGTATGTGTAGACTTATTTTCACAACATGAAACTTAAAACATGTTTAAAATGGAACATTTGTATAAGGAAACATCGATTTTTTAAATTTCTTATTGTAAAAAAATAGCTATGCTATGCTTATTTTTCTTGATATACATAATATTCTTTGAACCCGATATTCAAAAACATGTTTTTAATTTCTTGTAAAGAAATAAGTATTTTGCAGTTAAGCTCCGCCTCCTTGGTTTTTTGCCTTTTTGTTTTAATATGTGTACTTCTTTTCACAACAAAAAACTTAAAACGTATTTAAAATGGCAAATTTGTATAAGGAAATATCGATTTTGAAATTATGGGGCGGAGCCTAATTACAGAATCGATATTTTCCTATACAAATTTGCCATTTTAAACATGTTTTAAGTTTCTTGTTGTGAAAAGATGGCTAAGTATATTAAGAAAAAAAGGCAAAATATAAGCCCCGCCCACCCGCCCTGTCTCTATTGTAATGATTTTTTTATTCGTTGCGAGTCAAGGAGGCGGAGCTTTAACTGCAAAATCCTTATTTCTCTATAAGAAATAAAAAACATGTGTTTGAGTATCGTGTTGTTCAAAGAATACTAAATATTAAGAAAAAAACAAGCCAAAAATTAAGCCCCACCCATATCCATCCCACGCTCAATTATGACGAATTTTTCATTCGTTGTCAGACCGCGGGGCGGAGTTTAATTGCAAAATCGATATTTCCCTTTACAAATTTAAACATGTTTTAAGTTTTTTGTTGTGAAAATATGACGATACATTTTAAGAAAACAAGGAAAAATATAAGCCCCGCCCACCCACCCAATCTCAATTGCGACGATTTTTTTATTCGCCGTAAGCCAAGGGGGCGGAGCTTATCTGCAAAATCTTTATTTCTCTACGAGAAATTAAAAACATGTTTTTGAGTATCGTGTTGTTCAAGGAATATTATGTATATTAATGAAAAAATAAAGCCAAAGATTGGCCCCACCCATACCCGCCCCTACCTCAATTCTCAATTGTGATGAATTTTTCATTCGTTGGAAGATGAAAAGGAGGGGCTTAATAGCAATATATTTTGGCTTTTTTTTCTTAATATACATATTTTTCTTTGAACAACCCAATACTCAAAAACATGTTTCTAATTTCTTGTAAAGAATTAAGTACTTACCAGTTAAGTTCTCTTGGTTCACGGCAAATAAAAAAAAATCATCACAATTGAGATAGGGCGGGTGGGCGGGCTTACATTTTGTCTCTTTGTTTTAATATGTGTGGGCTTTTTTTCACAACATGAAACTTAAAACATGTTTAAAATGGAAAATTTGTATAAGGAAATATCGATCTATATTTCCTTGCAAAAATGTACCATTTTGACCATGTTCTAAGTTTCCTGTTGTGAAAAGATGGCTATGTATATTAAGAAAAAAAGGTAAAATATAAGCCCCGCCCACCCGCCCTATCTCAATTCTGATGATTTTTTTATTCGTCGTCAGCCGAGGGGCGGAGTTTAATTGTAAAATCCTTATTTCTCTACGAGAAATTACCATGTGAAATATGTTCTTAAGTAATCGTGTTATACAAAGAAAACTAAATGTATCCGTCCTGATCTCAGTCATGATGAATTTTTCATTCGTTGTCAGATCGAGTGGTGGAGCGTAATTGCAAAATCGATATTTTCCTACACAAACTTACAATTTTAAACATGTTTTAAAAAAAGCAAAATATAGCCCCGCCCACCCTCCCATTTCAATTGTGACGATTTTTTTTTTTATTCGTCGTGAGCCAAGAAGGCGGAGCTTAACTGCAAAATCTTTATTTCTCTACAAGAAATAAAAACATGTTTTTGAGTATCCTGTTGTTCAAAGAATTCTTTGTAGATTAAGAAAAAAATAAACCCAAAGATTAGGCCCCCCTCATACTCACCACGATCTCAATCCCCAGTTGTGGTGAATTTTTCATTCGTTATCAGATCGAGAGGCGGGGCTTAATTGCAAGATCCATATTTGTTTACAAGAATTTACCATTTTAAACATGTTGTTAAGTTTCTTGTTCTGAAAAAACGACTACGTATATTAAAAAAAAGCAAAATATAAACCCCGCCCACCCGCCCCATCTTAATTGTGATTATTTTTTTTAATCGTCGTGAGCCAAACGAGCAGAATTTAATTGCAAAATCCTTATTATTTCTCTATTAATAAATTATCATGTAAGACGTGTTTTTGTGTTTCGTGATATTCAAAGGATACTATGTACAAACATATATTAAGAAAAAATTAAAGCCAAAGATTAAACTCCACCCATACATAATTTCAAACGTGTTTTATGTTTCTAAGAATAAAAAAAATCATCAGAATTGAGACAGGGCGGGTGGGCGGGCTTAAATTTTGCATTCTTTTTTACTATGTGTAGACTTCTTTTCACAACATGAAACTTAAAACATGTTTAAAATGGAAAATATCGATTTTGCAGTTAGACTCCGCCCCATAATTGCAAAATCTATATTTCCTTGCAAAAAGGTACCATTTTAACCATGTACTAAGTTTCTTGTTGTGAAAAAATGGCTATGTGTATTAAGAAAAAAAAAGGTAAAATATAAGCCCCGCCCACGCGTCCTATCTCAATTCTGATGATTTTTTTATTCGTCGTGAGCCAAGGGGCGGAGCTTAATTGTAAAATCCTTGTTTTTCTACGAGAAATTACCAAGTGAAATATATATACAAAGAAAACTAAATGTATCAATTAAAAAAGAAAGCCAAAAGAGAAGCCCCAACCATCAGTCGTGATGAATTTTTCATTCGTTGTCAGCGAGGGGCGGAGCGTAATTGCAAAATCGATATTTTCCTATAGAAATTTACCATTTTAAATATGTTTTAAGTTTCTTGTGAAAAGAAACACATATCGAGAAAAAAGGGTAAAATATAAGTGTCGCACACCCGACTTAGCACACTACAGCAATTTAATTGGTTGAAAACCCAACCTTAATGCATACCTAATGGTTTTATTGCAGTTTGCGGTCGAAAGTACTAAATACCCGTCATAAAATAATTGACGGCGTTTATATTTATCTTTTGCTGGACTTTAAATTTAATTACTACATATGTACGTTCTAATTACCTGCAATTAAGTTTATTGTGACATGTCCTGAGATTATTTCTTGTTCTTCGTTCTACTCTACTTTAGAAATAGTTCACGCAGAAAGAAGTCTTGTTAGTGTTTGGCGTTTCTCTGTCATAGTGAACTTTTCTACCTGCGTAAGGGTAACTATTTAGATTAGTGTCATTAGGCGAATTAATCCATTAAGATTAAGTGTTGACCAGTTCACTTAAGTTTATGTTTCCTGTGTTACTGTTTGCCGTTAAAAAAATTAATTAAAAAACCACCCCTTTCTGAAGTATGCATGTTACGCTACTGACAAACAGTCCGTTGTCAGATTCTGATGATTCACCACGTTGAACTGTTATTTGCATAACCAAATATGAATGTTTCTTTTTCCTTCAAGACTCCCTTCGTCAGCCTCCTCAAACGCAACTACTCCAACGTCGCCCCCACAACCAAGCTCTTCATCGATGGCGCCTTCGTCGACTCAAAAGCCAGCGCCTGGATTGACCTCCACGATCCGGCCACCAACAACCTGGTAACACGAGTGCCACAAAGTACCCAAAGCGAAATGGAGGCTGCTGTCGAATCCGCCAAAAAAGCGTACGAAACGTGGCGCCAGACTTCAGTATTAACTCGCCAGCAACTAATGCTCAACTTGCAACACGTGATACGACGAGATATTAAGAAGCTAGCCGCTAACATCACAGTCGAGCAGGGCAAGACTCTGGCGGATGCCGAAGGTGACGTTATGAGGGGATTACGTACGTATAATTGGCGGGAGATTTGAATCAGTTGTAAAGTACGACGTTACAGAGGTGGTTCAGCACAGTTGTGCCGCAGGGAGTCTTCTTCAGGGCGAATCGTTGCAGAACATAGCGAAAGATATGGATATTGTGTCGTATAGGGTTCCGATTGGTGTGACTGCGGGGATTTGTCCGTTCAACTTTCCCGCTATGATTCCGTTATGGATGTTCCCAATGGCGTTGATTGCGGGGAATACCATGGTGGTTAAGCCGTCGGAGAGGGATCCAGGGGCTACGATGTTACTCATGGAGTTGTTGAATGAAATTGGGTGTCCACCGGGTGTTGTGAACGTACGTAAATATTTTTTGAGTCGCATGTGTCTTGAGGGTTCAAAATTTTTCCAGGTGATACACGGAAGTCACGACGCTGTCAACTTCATTTGCGACAATAAAGATATTCAAGCTATAAGCTTCGTGGGCTCTGACAAAGCCGGAAAGTACATCTATGAACGCGGCGGTGCTAATGGGAAACGCGTCCAGTCGAACATGGGTGCCAAAAACCATGCTGTGGTTCTTCCAGACGCCGACAAGAGCGCTACCATTGACCAGTTGATCGGTGCCGCCTTCGGTGCCGCCGGCCAGCGTTGTATGGCTTTGAGCGTCGCCGTCCTCGTCGGAGAAACCCGGGAGTGGATTCCCGAAATTGTTGAAAGAGCCAAAAAATTAAAAGTGAATGCAGGACACGAGCCTGGGACTGATTTGGGTCCAGTGATCTCCCCACAAGCTAAACAAAGAATCCTGAGTTTGATAGAATCGGGGATCAAACAAGGAGCGCAGTGTCCTTTGGATGGCAGAGGCTTGGTGGTGGAAAAATATCCCAATGGTAATTTCGTGGGTCCTACCCTACTCACGGGGGTGCAGCAGTCGTTCGAATGCTACAAAGAAGAGATCTTCGGGCCCGTGCTCAACGTCATGTTTGCCGACACTCTAGAAGATGCTATTAAAATAATTAACGCAAATCCATACGGTAACGGTACAGCGATTTTCACCAGCAATGGCAGTCATGCCAGACAGTTTGTCGACCAAATCGATGTGGGACAAGTGGGGGTGAACGTCCCGATTCCGGTACCTCTACCCATGTTTAGCTTCACGGGGTCGAGAGGCAGTTTTCATGGGGATTTGCACTTTTACGGGAAGCAGGGACTGCACTTCTATACGGAAACTAAGACGATTACTTCGTTGTGGAGGAAGGGTCAAGCGGTATCGAAGAAGTCAGTGTCGATGCCTGTTCATAATTAATTTTTTTGTGGTTGGCAATAAAGCGAAGCGTTGATGATTGTGTTATTGTTTGTGGCCTTAATCGAGTTCATCCATGAAACCAAAAGTATTGTCACGGTCTGAGAGTCACGAAAAAACACAAACAAAAATATTCGGTGTAGAAACTAGGGCGTTCTCCTTTCTTCAGTCACGATAATGGGATGCGAAATTTCATTTTTGTTTAGATAAATTTCACTAGACTAATGGATTTGTTTTGAAAAATGTCCAAACTCCATTTCTTACACAGAAAGATTTAAGTACCACATTTATGAACCGTAAGAATAATTGTAGGGACGAAAATTTATAACATGAAGTAAAAAAATTCGAATTTCCCGCCCGGAAGTGCCGCATTACCGATAACACAGACTCCGGTGCAACCTAACTGTTCGCCTATAAACCCAATCACACCTATTAATATTTAATTGCAGTCGTTCATCTGTAACGGTCCAGCAGTCTACTGCCTGCAATTTGCAGCTCTACGATTACCTGACATGGGCTGGGTAACGGTACTTAAATTTATTACAATGGCCGTGTAAACAAAAGTTAAAAATGCACGCGGAGCGCAGAGAAAGCCTTTCTTTACGGCACACAAATCCTCGTTGACTTTCTACTCGCCGGACAAAGACAGCATTAAAACGTGTCATTTTTTTCCTAAACAAGGTAGGGATTGGTCTGTACCACATTTAAGGTTATTGTGGCGGAAACTTATATTACTTAGAGCCGACCGAGAAAGCGTCCAGTCAGGGTTGCGCCTGTTGCGTGAGAAAATGTTCCTGGTGGTACTATTCGTGGCGAGTGCCGCTGGTGATCTAGAACCGACGACGACCAAGACGTACGACTTGGAAGTGCCGGGATCCGACCCCATCCGCATAATAGAAGGCGAGCCGTTATGGCAGACCACGTCGAAAACCAAATTCGAGCACCGCTCGTTTGGCGCAGGGAGTAGTACCGAGGAGCGCGACGACCCCTTGCATCAGTTTTTGACCAACTATGCCGAGAACGTGCGAAAGAACAAAAACAAAATCAAAGACCATTCGTTCGAGGATAGTACAGAAAGGGGGAAGAGCTGGGATGTGGTACCGCACCAAAGACACAACCACCCGTACGACGACAAAAAGGGATGGGTAAGCATGGAACCGGTACCGTGGTCGGTGTCCAAAATCTCTAAATGGCAGAGTAAATATAAACCTTCGAGTCCTAAACCGTGGGAGGATTACGATATGGAGGAACTATCCCCAGTACGACCGTCGCAGTCGTACAGCAGACCCACTACTAACAACTACGACGTCTACTACGTTAACGATAAACCAGAGTCCAAACCCGTCTACCACAAACCGACGGCCGTTTATAACCAAAAGGTGCACGTGGATTACACGAACAGGTACCAACAAAAACACGACGAAAACTGCAAGCATTCGCAAAAACAGTCCGGCGAGGATGAAATAATAACTGATGGACTTCCGGCTAATTTTCCACACCCATATGAAGCCAGTAGGCGTCATGGGACTGATATCCACCCAGATACTCATCCGTTATCTGGAGAAGGGGAGTGGGTGTTACTGTCGACCACGAAAGGGTATAAGTATCCCAAAGAACGACAAAGAGCGTTAAAAATCAACCCTGAAGCTATCGGTGCACGTCGTACCGTACGCCTAACGGTACTACCACCATCAAAAAACTCCAAAGTGAATATGACGACGTCTCACGGTGGGTTGTTGCAAGTTGAATCGACCTTCCAGACTGTCGAACAAGCTCGTAGGCAACTATCCAAGAAACAAAAACTGAAGAAAAAACAGTCAAAACCCCCGAAACCTATCAGACAAGTGGTAGCACCCACTGTCACCACCACGACCCGACGCAACTCAGGTCCAGACAGCTCGGCGCTGTTGGCAGCTGTAGGTGCAGGGATGATTCCCGCAACCATGGCTATGTTGGTACCTATGGCATTAGGTGGACGACGCAAACGAGAAACGAGTACTCCGAAGTACTTGCAAACACTTCCACGTAATTTATATTAAATAATTAATTAATTTATTTATTTATTCATATAGTACAGTCTTATGTTACATGTTAAATAAATGTTGACTTTTGGTTTTTATGGTTTTTCCCAAGCCTGCCCAACCTAATCTACGTACTCTCAAGCATACAATGGTACTACGAAAGGAAACTTTGTAAACAGGGGAGTACATAAATCCTAATTAAATTAATGATGATGTCGTCGTCAATGAAGAGTGTAGTTTTGATAATGATGGTCTATTCGTCTCTGAAAGTGGGACAAGTACGTTGAAACCGCCTGAGTGGCGTTTTGCAGGAGTTGCAGTCCGAGGTGGACCTTCAAGTGGAAAAGTTCTTTAACAATGTCGAGGAACGATTTTACTTTATCGGGAGCCCAAGTTGTAGTACTTGTGTCTGTCGTGGTCATCGGTTGTAGCGTTGTGGCATCACTGGTACTAACAGTACCGTCGATTTCGTTCTCCCCTTCGTCGATGTTTTCAGGTAAAGCTCGTCTGCGTCTGACGTGGAGATTCCTAGGACCGTGTTCGGGTACAGCTGCAGGTGTAGCTTCCTCTCCAGAAACCGTATACACAGTACTCTGCTCTATAACTTTGCGATTATTGAAGCTATGTCTCGACGTAGGTGTTTTGAAATTGTTACCATATAGCGAGTTTGATGGCATGCCTGCTATTACCTTTCCGATTGCTTCTTCTTCAGCAATACCACCCGAGTACTCGTCGTTATAATAATAATTAGTGTCTTTATCGCGTCGATCAATGTCGTAAGAACGTCTAGCAGCTCCGAACGGGTACAAGAAGTAACTAGCTAACCCTGCAGTCACCATTAAACCGACTAAACCAACCCCTACAGTCGGCATTACTTCCCTCGACAAGTAGTTATAAAGTTGGGTACCGATAGGTTTCTCCTTCGGTTTAGGTTTGTCGATTTTAGTACTATTATCACTCTTCTCGCTCGGACGTCGCCTCCTGTTCTTATTCTTCTTCCTCTTGTTGTTTGAAGGCCGCTTCGTTTTTTTAATGTCAGTGCTTAATTCAGTCTCTCCGTCTTTCGCTTCCACGGGTAACGTGCTGGAGTTGCTCGCCGCGGTACTACTCACTACTATCGTAGTTATTTCCGTCGTTGCCGTCGTCGTGGTACTCGGACTCACCTTCTTGGCTCCATTCAGTACCGACGCTTTCACTTTCGTCAGTTTCGTAGTGGTAGGTGGTGGTGTGGTCGTGGTACTAGTCGTGGTGACGCGTTTTTTGAAAATCGGTTTAACGACTTTGTTGTTGTCCACCATGAGGGTGACGTTTTGTCTGTCGTTGAGTTTGATTACGGGTTTTCGGGACGGTTTCGGCGTTGTTTGTCCACTTAGAAGGATCCATGTCGACAGGCCGCTGTTCGTCGTGGGTTTTTCTACTTTGTAGAAGTTGAGCTTTTTGGTTGTTGCTTCTAGAAGCGCTTCGTCTTCGTCGACCGGAATGGCGACGCCTGCGTGAGAATTTTCGAACGTTTCGGGTACTTTGGTTTTCTTTTTCGCGTGCTGTTTGATTTTGGGGGGAGTTCTGGTGTCTAGAGTGATTATATCAGGTGATGAGGCATTTCTTTCCATCAGTTGGTTAGTCAGCTGCTTTATTGTTTCTCCGATTTGCGTGGGGGATCTAGAACAATAAGTAAAGTACGGAAAAATCGACTTGTCTGTAGTAACTGCTTAAAATTAGAGGTAAATAAAAACGCCGATCGATTTCTACAGTTTTATTCGTGATTGATGTAATCAATACATACCTATACAAGTAAATGTATGGCGACTCGATAAGTACAGACAATAAATAATAAACAAATAAATAAATAAATAAATATGAATAAATAGGTACATACAATAGAAGTGTTACGTGTCCACCTCAATCCTCACCTCATCGCAGCGACTATACATTATATACACGAAAAGTGACTAAACTGAATCGAAAATACTACCTGTTTCGTCTACGCCATTTCCACGATTGCGTACTACCCTCACCATATCCGTACTTCCGCGAAAAATTCTCTATAGCTTCCGTAACCGGATTCTTAAACTCCTCATCTACCCGCCTATGATGCTGAAAATCAGCAACGTTTTGCCAAGTTTTAGTTTCGTGATTCCAGAACCACCCGTCGGGGTGATGTACGGGCTTGTGCACATGCTTATAGAACGTAACGTTTGACGACTTCTTTTTATTTTTCACACCTGCGAATAAAATTAACGCCGGAATCCACCACGGGAAGAGTCCGATCACCGTCAAGAAACCCAACGTGAAAAACAACGCCATGGGTACTATATACAAATACGGATTTCTCAAAAAATTTAGGAGATGTCCAAATTTTTCCCACAAGAATTTTAAAAAATCAAACAGACCTTTCAGATCGGGTAGTCTGAGACCGCCGCCGTCGCTGCCGTTCCCTCCGCTACCGCCACTCCCACCGGAACCACCAGTACCACCACTAGGTGCCGCTGGCGCCGCGTCCGCCTGGCCGCCAGCCCCGGGACCGGGATCCGCTTGTACGTCTGGAGGTGGTACCGGTTCGTCCTCGGCGACGGGCACAGCGTCGTACGTTTCGGGTACCACGGGGGAACGATCGGTGGCCGTATTTTGGTGAAAATGCGAATTTATTACCAAGTTTAAGTCGGAACATTCTTGACGTTGCTGGGGGTTTAGTACGGAACTCGAAATGTGTACTGAGGGACATGGAGATAGACCGTTTTTGACGTCAGTGGATTCCGGAGCCATATCGAGATTAAAGGTACTAATCGCGTTACTTAAGTCGGGTTGTGCGGGAATTTGAGTGGGTTCGGGTGACGGTGGAACTGATGAAACTTCATTCAGAGAGTAGGGGGGTGAATGAGAATTAATCTCGGGATTGGGGGTAGGATACGGCACCCCTTGTTCGTACCAAGCTTGCTTAATTTCGTTCAGAGTGGGTTTATCTGACCACTTAGTGACCACTCGTCGGACTGTCGGTTTAGGTTTGGGTTTTTTTGTAGTCGTGTGGTACTTGGTGGTACTTACTGGGCGTGGCGAAAGTTTAATTTTGAACGGGGGGTTCGTCGGACGCGCAACTTTAACCGGTTTTTTAAAACTGCTAACGTTTACAGGTTTAGCTACATTGATTACAATAGTGTTCGGTACTGCGGGTTTCCGGGTGGCTTTTTTTTTCGGTTTGATAGTACTCCTATTGACCTCAAGCTTCGTGACAGTGTCGACTTTAACCGTTTTGTTGGGTGTGTTTAAATCTTCGAAGTTACTCTTAACGAAATTAGTAAGTAGCTGTTGGTCTTTCTTTTTGATTTTTCGCACGTTTTGCCCGCGAAAGTTCGGACCCGATAAAATATTTAGTACCATTTCGGCGTAAAACGACTCATTTTTTGGCTGCTTTGTATTTCTGTTAACCGAAATGAATTTCGTAGATTCGGAAAATTGAGGTAGATACGTTAAGTGTGTGTGTCCTCCTAAAGAGTACCTTGCTGTCGTGGTTCCTGATGGTACCGGAGTTGCAGTGCTCAATGCCGAAATCACAACCACAAACACTAGACACTGCATTTTCGCCTGAAACAAAAGTAGATATTAAAGTCGATCCATTTATACCATTGGCGGTACCGTTACAGACGGTACCACATTCATTTGGGATTACCACTATTTAATTGGTAGCATTGCAACGGTTTCATCGCCGGTAATTAACATAACGAAAACAAATAATTGTACCGGAGAACCACCTTGGCGAAGAACGCGATGGTATGGTCGTGTGGGTTAGAGGAAGATGGTAATGAAGCGGTACCGCTACGGTCAATGACTTTCTCTGACCAAGACCAGCCCGGGTTATTTACGATGAGAATTTGGGCCGAATTCGAATTGACAAGGTCGGGACTGTTTTATAAAAATAATCAACAATAAAATTGTTCCTGCACAAAAAACTGTTTGTTGTTTACGAATCAGTTCACATCGGAATGACTCATGCCGCAAGAATGGTACCGGCACCCTCTTCTTGAAAAATTGTTATTACAATAATGTTTTTATTATCTTATTATTGCGATATTAATTAATGCTTCAGGAATAGGTTCCTGGAAATATTGAACATTGTCGAGAAAACTTACTCTTTTGATTCAACTCGTCTTCTTTAAGACACTGTGGGCACTGTAACATCTGAAGAACTACTGGTGGCAGGAACCTTTGCGTGGCCGGCACGCTCGGCATAGCGGTACCCATGGCTGGTACCTGAAACAGACAATGTGTTAAAATAAAACTAATAGCGTAATGGCAAGTTTCCAGTGACCTGGTTGAGAGTGAAGATGTTTCTTTGAAAAAATGTGTGCAGTTGGTTGCCTATGTTTCAGGCTAGAAGCCGCTTTGAACTTGTATACGAGTCCTAAATTTTAAATTTCGAGGTCAGTCCTACACAAAATCAAGATTCTGATATTTCAGTGACCGGTTACGTAATTTTTGCCACTTATCCGATATAGGAAGCATGAAAACGTTAAATGTGCGTCGCTTGAGTATGAAATAAAAAATCGCAGATCGTGGCAATCAGAGCGTGGTGTCCTTAATGATGAATGGATCTTAACAGTTCATTTTTTCACATCTGATGCTTGATAATGATGAATATTATCTTCATTGACCATGTCGCGTTTGTTTGAATTTCTTCTAGTAGGGTTTGAAAGTTTGCATAGTGGAAAAACTGGATATTTTAGGTTACATTGCGTCAGCGATACCGCAGCAGGTGTCATCAAAATTTGCATGTGACCAAAAAACCGCATTTTTTAGTTTTATTTTATCTTTTGTCACATTTCGCGGCTGTTTTACGTAAAGTTATTGTTATTGGCACTTTCACTAACTGTACTTTTCGTGAGCAAACATGTTCAATATTTACAGAAGTTTTAATACTTAGGTTTGTATTGCGAACGGAAGCAACTTTAAGTAAATAAAACAATAAAAAAAACGACCAGATTCTGTCTTGTGTATTTTTTTATAGTTAATCATATCACTGTCACAATGTCTTTCAAGTTGCATTAAACAAAGAAACTCACAAACAATGACTTAGCTCTCACCATCGAAGATTGCATTTTAACTTCATCATCTAATTCTAAGTTTCCATTAAAGAGCCATAATTAGAAAATGCTATTTACTTGGTTAACTAGGCTTGAGCGGGTATAAGAATTTTGATCCTTTCTCCAGCTAACGGTGCATTTTCATTCAGGCAACGGGATAAGACTTAAAAAATAAATAAATTACAATTCTTAAAAAAAACACGTTTGTGATGTCCCATAACTTTTACTGAAAGGTGGTGCGATCAGGTCTAAAGCGGTTAATCGTTCATTGCAGAATTGCACCTCAATATCTTAAACCAGCTCGTAATGTTCTCATTATGGGTAAGTAGTTGTAGCGTTGTCAACAATATTTTTCATTTTTCGTGCTTACAAATTCTGCTGTTGTTATTAGAGCATTTCTTAATAACAAAATTTGTTAACAACAAATGTCTCATTTATTGTTCACATACAAAATATCACCGTGGAGACAGTTGTAAATTTAATTTAATTGACTTAACTTTCTAATTAGAGAACAAATCGTAGCTTGTTTAAAATGTATTACTTCTTCACACTATTCGTATTTCTTGTGGTTTTTGCACACACAAGTCATTTTTATTCCCTTCAAACGACACAAATGATACAAGGTGATAAAAAATAATTGAGACCATCAAGAATATGATATATAACGTAAATATAACTATTACGAGTTTTTTGAGATATACATTGATCCACAAATCACACTGTACACATGTATGTTGACTTTGGCAAAACGTCCATATTTTTGAAAAAAAGAAAAATCAAAATTATAAAACAACATTTTGCAATTTAATTTTGAATCTTCCAAATTGAGTGCTTTGAAATTTTATAGATGTATTAAATTTATGGTAAGGGCAATATATATATTTTTAATCAAAGTATATTTGCTTGTCCCCTCCAAAAAATTATTGACGTCATCTCAAAATTTTGCCCGATAAATCCTATCTAAAATATATGCTTGTGATTTATCGCTGCGTCCATATTTTTTAAATTTGCTGAAACATGTTGACTCAAAAAAATTAATGAATGCGTGAATTTATTTCATTGATTTAATTAGGAACTCCAAATCCGAATCCTTTGAAATCTTGGAGATGTTTCAAAGTGATCATAAGCATGGTAAATTTTTAATCAAAATATTATTCGTACATATTTCGTAATTTTTTTTTAAATACACGAAGTCTTCTTTTTCCAAGAAGAAACTAAAAACAAAAAGAAAAGTATATGTAACTAAAAAAAGTCTCTATCTCAGTTGTAATGATTTTTTTCATTCGTTGTCAAACCGAGCAGCGGAATTTAATTGCAAAATCCATATTTTTCTACAAAATTTTACTCTTTTGAGAACATATTTCACATGGTAATTTCTTGTAGAGAAATGAAGATTTTGCAATTCAGCTCCGCCCTCGGCTCACGATGAATAAAAAAATCATCACAATTGAGAGGGGGCGGGTGGGCGGGGCCTATATTTCCTACATTTTTCTTCTTATATACGAAATCTTCTTTTCCCAACAAGAAACTCACTATCGTGTTGTTCAAAGAAAACTATATGTAATTAAAAAAAAATCCGATCTCAATTATGATGAATTTTTTATTCTTTGTCAGACCAAGGGACGGTGCATAATTGCAAAATACATATTTCCCTAGAAAAATTTTGAACATATTTTAAATTTCTTGTAATGGAAATAAAATATGTTAAGAAGACAGAGTGAAATATAAGCCCCACCCACCCACCCTATCTCAATTGTAATGATTTTTTTATTCATTGTCACACCGAACGGCGGAGTTGAACTGCAAAATACACATTTCTTTACAAAATTTTACTGTTTTAAGAACATATTTCACATGGTAATTTCTTAATTGTAGAGAGATGAGGATTTTGCAACTAAGCTGCGCCCTCGGCACAGGATGAATAAAAAAATTATCACAATCGAGAGGGGTGGGTGGGCGGGGCTTATATTTTGTGCATTTTTTCTTAATATACGAAGTCTTGTTTTCATAACAAGAAATCAAAAATGAATAAAAATTCGTCACAATAGGGTATTCCACGCAAAGCTAAAGTAGATGTCGCCACCACCGAAGGGGCACGAATTTGTAACCAAAGGTTGGCAACAGCCAAATGGACATGTGTGTTTTTTGTATTTGTCAGCTGCCTTGGTTAATCAGTCTTTGTACATTTTGTTTGATTTAAATAAAAATTTACTGTTAATACATATATCTAGGTACTAGAGCTTATTTGAAACCAGAAGTACATCGGGCGGGAGAGATGAATGCGCGAAGCGCGAAAATGGGTGATGAGTATGGACGAGTCAGTGGCGGACCATTAGTGTTGTTATTGGGGTTTGTACGTTGCTCGCGTTAGTATAAGAACGTACAAAACAGGTCCAAAGAGTAAAGGAAGTTCGTTCTCGACGCCGCTGATTCTGTGAAAGTAGTGCTCATGCGCACTGAATAGTGTTTCAAATACTGGTATCTGCGCTCTTTTATTGCTGTGTACTTCTGCTTTCAAATAAGCTCTAATACATCCACCGCATATAGAGGGACAACTTTACCACATGAAAGTCACTATATTTGACACTTTTTGGTAATTTTGCCCTTACAGACGTGGCGCCTCTAGCGGTACAAAGTGGCAGTGGAATACCCCATTGAGAGGGGGTGGGTGGGCGGGGCCTATATTTCCTATTTTTTTTTCTTATATACGAAATCTTCTTTTCAAAAAAAAATTCCGATCTCAATTATGACGAATTTTTTATTCCTTGTCAGACCGAGGGGCGGTGCATAATTGCAAAATACATATTTCCCTACAAAAATTTTGAACATATTTTAAATTCCTTCTTGTTAAAAGAAAACTACGTATATTAAGAAGACAGGGTGAAATATAAGCCCCACCCACCCACCCGATCTCAATCGTAATGATTTTTTTTATTCATTGTAAGATCGAGCGGCGGAGTTTTAACTGCAAAATCCACATTTCTTTACAAAATTTTACTCTTTTAAGAACATATTTCACGTGGTAATTTCTTGTAGAGAAATGAGGATTTTGCAACTAAGCTGCGCCCGCGGCAGAGGATGAATAAAAACATCATCACAATCGAGAGGGGGTGGGTGGGCGGGGCTTATATTTTGTCCACATTTTCTTAATATACGAAATCTTCTTTTCCCAACAAGAAACTAAAAATATATTTAACTTTCGTGTTGTTCAAAGAAAACTATATGTAACTAAAAATAGTCCCGATGTCAATTGGGATGTTTTATTTTTAATATATAATTCATATTTTTAAATTTGCTTGTTCAGGGTGTCTCAGACTCAAATTAATGACTTAATCATTAAAAAATAAATAATCAGATTTAGGAATTTAACTCGTTACTATGGAAATATGCAATTTAACAAGTTTTTCCAAGTTTAATAGGGGCAAAATTAGTCTTATCTTAGCGAGTGCTAGCCCCGTCCACCGCCCTCTGCTTTCTAAGATTATATGTCATTTGCCAAAATAAGTTTTACCTTTGTAAGTACTAGCCCCGCCCACCCGCCCTATGTTTTCTCAAAGGGTATGGCGTTTGCCAAAATCAGTATTATCTGAGCAAGTATTAGCACTACTTTTTCAGAGTTTATGTCATTTGCCAAAATAAGTTTTACCTTTGCAAGTACTAGCAAGTACTACCTTCTGAGAAAATAAAGGGCGGGTGGGCAGGGCTAGTACTTGCTAACATAAGTCTTAATTTGGCAAATGACATATCCTCTGAGAAAATAAGGAGCGGGTGGGCGGGGCTAGTACTTGCTAGGTTAACACTGATTTTGGCAGATGATATATCCTCTAAGAAAGTAAAGGGTGGGTGGGCGGGCCTAGTACTTGGTAAGATAAGACTGATTTTGCAAATGACATATCCTCTGAGAAAATAGAGGGCGGGTGGGCGGGCCTAATATTTGTTAAGATAAAACTGATTTTGCTCCTATTAATCTTGTAAAAACTTGTGAAATTTAAAGATGTTAAGCTCCAAATTTTCATAGTAACGAGTTGAATTCCTAAGTCTACCCAAAATGTGCAAAATATGATGAGTTTTTACTTGTGATTTATTTTTAATATATAATTCATATATTTTAAATTTGCTTATATAGGGTGTCTCAGAAAAATTAATACCTGAGTTGTTAAAAAATAAATATCCAATCAGATTTAGGAATTTAGCTCGTTACTGTGGAAATAAGCGATTTAACACCTTTTAAATTTAACAAGGGGAGTACTAGCCCCGCCCGGCGGCCCCCTATTTTCTCAGAGGATGTCATTTGCCTAAATAAGTGACATACCCTCTAAGAAAGGAATGAGTGGGGAGGGCTAGTACTTGTTAACATAAGACTTATTTCGGCAAATGACATATCCTCTAGGGAAATAGGGGGCGGGTGGGCGGGCCTAGTATTTATTATTTTTGTGAATTGACGATCCGCATTTGGAGGAAATGCGTAATAAAGCTTAGCTAATATCTTTTGGTCCTTAAACTAATGCTACTCTTTTAGTAATTTTTTTCAATAGAATCCTCTGTTACGTAACATAATCTTTGACATAAACTACACACTTTATGATTTCTACTGTTTTATATGTCACTATATTCCCATTTTCCTACACAAAATATGTGTTGAGCAATTGAGCATGTTATCTTGTACTTTTGCAAGCAACATGGTATTGTACTCCCAGTTTCAAGTAGTTTTTATGATAGGTCCATTGTGTCGAAGCTGATGATGATAATAATGAGGTGATAATGTTTATTATCTTGTTATAAAAACCACTTTAAACTGGGAGTACAATATGTATGTATATATACAAAAAAAATAAATAAATAAAATAACGTCATTAATGATGAATGTGATGTAGACAAATTTTGATTATCGTTTTCTCAGTTCCACGATAATGTTAAAGCACATTTAAAATCTGAAGGCGATTTATTTACTAGTTTTTGAGCTTATCAAAGTTCCGACAGCGATGGCCATCGTCACATGGCAATCAGAAACATGCATTTTCGTATTTCATGAATAATGGAACACGAGCAACCACGAAATTAGACATTAATCAAAATAATTCTATCGAGTAGTATAAAAAAAAATATACGAAGTTAAAATCTCAAAGAATGAGTAAAACCGGATTTGTCTTAGTCGACCATATATATTGACATTCGCCATAAGGTTCACACAGTTTCCCATTTAAAAAATCCAGTTTAGTTTAATTGCAGACATTTTCGCAAAAATGTGTAAAACCTCGTCACGAAACTTGGCCACTAATTACAGACAAGTGTGAATTTTTTCCTCTCTTTTCGCAACATGTCATTATTGTCATTACACTTTTAACTCTTCAAATTAATGATCACGCGACGAAAACTTGGCGAAAAATTGATACGTGATTTTTTTTAAACAATCACTAAACGATACTTGAATCAAGAACTCTACAGAATGAGGTGAAAGAATTCTAGACGTACCTACCTCATTCCATTTACATTTTAATTTTACTACGTCACGTGTCTTCGAATAATTAAGTTATAAAGTTAACACAAAGGAAACAAAAGTGCGACCTGACCTTAGACACGATCAATTAGACTCAAATAAACTTTCCGTCTCGGCGAACACAACACCGAAATGATGCTAATAAGAAAACATTTACATTTCAATAAAGCTTCCAACATCCTACATAACTACAGATGTATCTAGATCACCTACTCTCATGATCAAGTCGCAAAAACATTTGCTTACACATGTCGCACGACAAACCGTTAATTGGCGCTAAGTGAAACCTGATCAAACGTATACTTACTTCAGCTGCATCCCCGGAATTTTCCGGTGATCACTCCGGGAAACTCCAGTATGAGATGGGTTGTCACAGGTGGCGTGGATGGGCAGCAAGGATAAGACACTAAGGTCACTACACAATCACATCACCGGTTGTGTTCCGGGCAACGTTCCAAGTGTTACAAACTCGAGAGTCGTGGACGCTGCAGACATCAGAAGGCGGCCAAGCTCCCGAGGTGATGGTGCAGTGGGGGCCTTCTTTCGGAAGGTGGAAGTCGATTGATGGGACTCCCAAATGGGTCTAGGTTTCGTAACGCCGATTTTTAATTGGTATTTGTTTGTTTTAGTGACCCGGATTATGACGAAGACGGAATTAGTGAAAACATGTGGACAAAAAACATTTCTTCATACCTATTATGAATGAATAATCAATTTTAGTTAAAATAACTAAAATGTCTAATTTAATCATTTTAAGAATAAGTTGATAGGTAACTAAATTTTTTCGTTCGTTATAACGCACTCTCGGAGAAGTTACTAGGTCGAACACTAGTCGCGCACACCAATTTTCGTCGCGTTAAGAACTAACGGAGCAAAAATTGTTAATCGTACGCCTTCACATCTCTTCAGCGTCAAGCTCGCTGCACAAGTGTTCTTTCCGCTGGTGTTACCGCCAAATTCGCACCGTATTACCTAGATTATATAACAATTTTCGGTGGAAATTGGTCGGCAAAGAAGCACGAAACAGTACGGTTGTTCTTCAGCGCGAGTAATTGGCCGTTTTCGCTATTACACACGCTCGAATTTGCCTCCAACAATCGCCGATATCAAAATTCGACGCTGATTTCCGTTCCATGATCGCCATTTCTTCGGGCAATAACCGTAATAGAGTAACCCAATTCGAGGTTGCATGGTCGGACTTTCATCTTAAGTATTTTGTTTAAAAAAATAACATTTTATTTCGTGCGATGTCCTGGCTGATGAATAATTTATTATTGATAGAGCGCATGGGAAATCGGAACGGTTTTTCGAGAAGGTCGAGAAGGCGGACCAAAAAAGTTGGACGATGGTTGCGCAATTGTGTAAGGCCGTACACGTGTTTTGGGAATATTAAAATCGTTTGAATTAATATGTAATTAATACATAATTAAAAGAGAGTGGAAATACGAAAAAGCGGCTATTGCGTTGGCAAGGAAGATGTGTTTATATGTAGACATTTTTGGAATTGTAAATTAAAGTAGTGTCAGGTCGCTAGAATAAACAAATAAGGACTGAGTTATGTTTGTAATCAAAAGAAAACAAAAAAGACTTATTTTAAAAACTTTAATAACTCCTAGATAAATTAATATTTAGAATTCATGTGTTCTGCTGCAAAAAGTTATTTCCACTTTTTTTTTAGTTGTTTTTTTTTGACTTTGTTTAATTTTTTTATGATAACCCTTAGAAGTTAAAGATATGTATATAATATTAATGTAAACATAAAGAAAAAGCAGTACTGTATTGCCAAATTTTCGAGAAAATGGGGTGAGCCGTTTCTGATTTAATCAATAACATAAATTGATGCATTCATTAATTTTTTTGAGCCACCTGTATAAGCAAATCGAAAAAGTATGAAAAAATAATAAATCACAAGTAAAAACTCTAAAAACTTCATTTCATTCAGTTCGCATAAAATCAATCACTGAAAAGGAGGCAGGGTGGGTGGGCGGGGCTAATGATTTTCTTCTGTCGAGTGAGAGTGAAAACTAATAATAAAATCTAGGATGTGAAAAAAGTAAAAAAAAGCGCCAATCGTAACTTTTTTTGTTATACTATTTGCTATAAAATTTATTTCTTATTTTACCTGTCTGTCTACATTCCACTCTATATCAATGTAAATGCCACTTTTCGTCCAATAAAATGAGTAATTAGAACGAGTAATTCGAACGTGTGTGGGCGGGGCCACTTTGATTTTTTCGAAGCTTAAATTGAACCACTTGACGATTTAAAATAAAATTTTCATCTCAGAGGAAATAATAAAATTATCCAATGAAATTTAAAAACGGAGCTGGGTGGAGTTAGTTTTATCAATTCAAAATACACTTTTTGTCCAATAAAATCAGTGATTAAAACGAAAACCGGATGGGCGGACGGGGCCACTTTGAATTTTTTCAAGCGCAGAACCGACTACTAGTTTTTTATTTCTTGTAGAGAAATAAGGATTTTGCAATTAAGCTCCGCCCCTCGGTTCACGACGAATAAAAAAATCATCAGATTTGAGATACGGCGGGTGGGCGGGGCTTATTTTTGCCTTTTTTGTCTAAATATACATATCCATCTTTTCACAACAAGAAACTTAAAACATGGTTTTAACCATTTTAATGGTACATTTTTGCAATTATGGGGCGGACCCTAATAGCGAAATCGATATTTCCTTATACAAATTTTCCATTTTGAACATGTTTTAAGTTTCTTGTTGCGAAAAAAGTCTGCAGATATTAAAACAAAAAGGCAAAATGTAAGCCCACCCACCCGCCCTATCTCAAATGTGATGATTTTTTTTATTCCAAGAACCAAGGGGGCGGAGCTTAACTGCACAATACTTATTTCTTTAGAAGAAATTAAAAACATGTTTTTCAGTATCGTGTTGTTCAAAGAATACTATGTATATTAAGAAAAAAAGGTAAAATATAAACCCCGCCCACCCACCCCATGTCAATTGTGATGTTTTTTTTTTTGTTTTTAGAAACTTAAAACATGTTTAAAAGGGCAAATTTTTGTAAGAAAATATGGATTTTGCAATTAGGCTCTACTCTGAAAAAACAATATGTCGAGAAATCGAAAATTTCAAAAATTAAAAAATCGTAATATGAAAAATTGAAAAATTCCAAAAATGAAATCTCGAAAAAATGGAAAATCAAAAAATTGAGAAATCTAAACTTAAAAAAATCGAAAACCGAGAAATCGAAACATTAAAACATCGAGAATTCGAAATGGCCCAAAATATAAAAATTTAAATGAAAAAAATCGATCAATCGAAAAATTAAAAATCGAAACATCGAAACGTCGAAAAATTTAAAAAATTGAAAAACCGAAATGTTGAGAAGTGGAAAGTTTGAAAAAACGAAAAATAAAAATTTTTTAAAATAGAAAAATCGAAAACTCGAAACTCGAAAAAGTGAAAAATAAAAAAATGGGCAATCTAAAAATCGAAAAGCCTAAAAGTCGAAAAGTGGAAAAAGTAAAAATTGAAAAACTGAAAAATTTAAATTTAACAAAAAACTGAAAATTGTAAAATCCCCAAAAATGAAATGTCGGAAATTGGGAAATAAAAAAATTGAAGAATTGGAAAATCGGAAGATATAAAAAATGAAAAGCCTAAAATTCGAAAATTTGAAAACTCAACAAAACCGAGACGTCTAAATATCAAAAGGTCGAGAAATCGAATAGTTCAAAGTCAAAAAATTAAAATTTAAAAAATAATCGATAAATCAAAAAATTGAAAATCGAAAAATCGGGAAACTGAACAATAAAAAAAATCGAAACATCGAAATCTCGATAAATCGAGAAATCGAAAAATTGAAAAACCGAGATTTTTAAAATTAAACATTCATCACAATATGGGTGGGGCTTAATTTTTTCTTAACATATGGTATTCTTTGAACAACTCAATACTCAAAAACCTGTTTTTTATTTTTTGTAGAGAAATAAGGATTTTACAATTAAGCTCCGCCCCTCGGCTCACGATGAATAAAAAAATCATCAGAATTGAGACAGGGTGGGTGTGGGCGGGGCTTATATTTTGCCTTTTTGTCTTAATATACACAGCCATCTTTTCATAACAAGAAACTTAAAACATGATTAAAGTGTTACATTTTTGTAAGGATATTTCAATTACTGAAAAATCAATATTTCCTTATAAAAATTTTCCATTTTAAACATGGGCTAGTACTTGTTAAAATAAGACTGATTTTGGGAAATGCCATACCTTCTGAGAAAATAGAGGGCGGGTGGGTGGGGCTAGTACTTATGATGATAAGACTGATTTTGGCAAATGGCCTATCCTCTGAGAAAATAGGGGGCGGGTGGGCGGGGCTAGCACTTGGAAAGATAAGGCTGCTTTTGCCCCTATTAAACTTGTAAAAACGAAAGATTTAAGTCAATTACTAAAAAAATTTACCATTTTAGACATTTTTACGTTTCTTGTTGTCGAAATAAATCTACACATATTTATTTAAGAAAAGAAAGGAAAATGTAGCCCCGCCCACCCGCCCTATCCCAATTGTGATGATTTTTTTATTCGTCGTGGGCCAAGAGGCTTAACTGCAACGGAGCTTAACTGCAAAATCCTTATTTCCGTACGAGAAATTAAAAACATGTTTTTTGAGCATCGTGTTTTTCAAGGAATACTATGTATATTAAGAAAAAAATAAAGCCGAAGATTAGGCCCCACCCATACCCGCCCCGATCTCAATTCTCAATTGTGATGTATTTTTCATTCGTTGTCAGATCGAGGGGCGGGGCTTAATTGCAAAATCGGTATTTGTCTGCAAGAATTTACCTTTTTAAACATGTTTTTAAGTTTCTTGTTCTGAAAAGACGGCTACGTTGTGATAGCCCAAACATCCCGCCTTAAACTGACATGTAAAAAAAATGTTGAAAGCCCGCGAAGAATTTAAATATTCAAAATTTGGCCTTGGCTGTGATCGTCTAACAAAAGGGAATCCTACGTTGTGTTTTTGAAAAATGGCGCGATGCGTCCAGATGCAAGTGGTGGACCCCAAGGTGGGAAAAGTACCGCTAAATAAAACCCAAAATTTATAGAGGACACAAAATTATTTATTCCTCCACTGAAAAAAAAATAAAAAAAACTTATTGAACTTTGGATGAAATTTAAATGGAATCAAATTAAACGTTCTGAATCAATGCAAATATCTGAAAATCACAAATTGAATAAAAACAAGCAAAGTCTTATGTTCTGTGGAAAGAGAATGAAAACTAATAGAATCTAGGATGTGAAAAGAGAAAAATAAGGCGCCCCGCCCACCCGCCCCCAATTTTCTTGGAAGAAATGTCATTTGCCAAAATCAGTTTTATCTTAGCAAGTATTAGTCCCGCCCACCCCCATTCTTCCCATTCAAAGGACTAATTTTATTTCTGTTAGTTATAAGATCATTCATTTCATTCAAAGCGGACATCAATTACTGAAATTGAGATAGGGTGGGTGGGAGGGGCTAATTATGTTCTGTGGAAAGAGAATAAAAACTAATAGAATCTAGGATGTGAAAAGATAAAAAAAGGCGCCCCGCCCACCCGCCCTCAATTGACTTGGAAGGAATGTCATTTGTGAAAATCAGTTTTGTTCTGCGCAAATCACTGAAACGGTGGCGGGTGGGTGGGCGGGGCTAATTATATTCTTCTGTCGAATGGAAGTGGAATCTAATAGAATTTAGGATATGGAAAATGTAAAAAAAACGCTAATGGTAACTTTTTATATAAAAAAGGAAAAGTAATTTCTTGTATAAAAAATTTATTTCTTATTTCAGAAGAAAAAAAGAGAACGGATGGGTGGGTGGGCGGGGCTAAGTTTGACTTTCCCTTACTGAGTGTTTTATACGCAAGCGATGACCCCGGTAAATGATTTACGATTTAGTCAGATTGGGCCAGGTGAAGTCAGTCTAAAACTTTGCATAGTATAGTAGCACTAGCGGAGTTTGAGGCTCCCGGTCGTGGCTTCACCACCGTTCTACCTATCTCAAACACTGTCGCTCTGCACCTCAAGAGTGCCTAGACGATCAGGCCGTTACGGCCGCAAACTCGCAATTGGGTCTCGACTATTGGGCCAAGTCGTCAGCGTTACTTCATCTTGACCGCCCCTGAATTCTATTCTAACCTGCATCTTTTGTGCAGATGGCGCGATAAATCCAGCCAGCTCGACTAGGAACCGCGCACTCCGCTTCCACCAATTCCATTTATATGTTCAATTCTTATAACTCTGATATTCAATTACAACTGAACGAGTGTGAAAGTTTCAAAAAGAGCAATAAACAACTTTTAAATTCGTCATACAATCTTGTGAAATTTTAAACAATTTATATGATAAAGTCGCGATCTTTTCTATAGAACCACTCCCTAGTGTAAATTTTCAAAATTTGTTTGGTGTAAGTGACCTTGGCGGGTTTCTGGGGGAAAACATATGTGTCAAAAATTTGACAGGTTAGATGGCCCCATTGTCAATGTAGATATTTTATTTTAATAAATATATGAACAGAACATACAATCTGCACAGGACACAGTGCGGCATAGCTGAGGGCAACCGAAACATTCGTGTTGTGCTAATTTCGATTGCCATATCAACTACCGCTACCAACCGCGTTTGGCGTAAAGTACTAGATGACAGGGCTACCAACTTGACTTTTTATCGAGTGGTTCCGTAGAAATGATCGCTACTGTAGAAACATTCGTAAACAAAATATTTACAAAAAGAAAAACTAGTAAAGATTTATAAAAACAAAAGATCTGGTGTGAAGTAAACTTGTGAAGATAAAATATTACGTGAGGTTAGAAATTGCAGACCATGAAAATTTACGTTCAATTTAAATTATACATGAAAGAAAATGACTGAAGTTAAAATTATGAGATAAAGAAAATTGCAAAGCTAACAAAATTCCACGACATTAATATGTGACACACTTGTAACAATTTGTTTTGACGGTTTATATCATGAACTGATTACCCCAAACAAGACAAAAGATAAATAAACACAAAAATATCCAGTCGGCGTTGCGAGGAATAAGCGTCTCAGTGATGTAATTTTTAGCGTTGCGAGGAAATGCCACGATGATGTAAATTTTTAACGTTGCGAGGAAATGCCTCGATGATGTAAATTTTTAACGTTGTTAGAAAATGCCTCGGTGATGTAATGATGATAACGATGATAACTGCCTAAGGGAAGAAATTATTTTAACCCCCTTGAACGATATAATGAATTTTGTTAATTCAACTGCCGTAAATGAACTGTTAGCAATCTTGTGTGAAGAATGAAGAAGTGTTATAATGTAACACTGAAGTACATACCGTGAAGTTTTTTTTCCTCTGAACATAGGATGATCGAAGTATGTTGGGTTGCATATTCATCCGCCAATGGATTGATTTGGACTTAAAAACTGAACATAAGATCACATAAGATCACATAAATTTTCTGTTCTTTAAAGATGTACTTATTACACCTTAACAGGAAGACAGTGGTGCCAAATGTCAATGGCAATATCTTTGACATATCCTAAATTTCGATTAGATTTTATGTTCAATTTTTAAAAGTCCAAGTCAATCTATTCACAGCATAGATAACATTTCCGGATTAACATTTATGACTGTATAAGTAATAAAATAAAAACTGTAACAAATCATCGTGTTTATAATTTAAATATCGACTTTTTTTCTTATTGCGATTCATGATTATACGATTTGAGCAAACTACACAGTTTGCAATATTGCGTACACGAATCAATTTTTGAAATTTTAAATGAAGTGATACTTTTTAAATTGGGCGGCGACATCTAGGAATAGTTTAGGCAACGACCATCCATGACGGCTTAAAATTCGGGTCAGAAAGAACAAAGGCGCCGACACGAGCTGTCCCTACTGATTGTTATCTCTACTGTGATCTATTACAAGCAGGTATGCAACCAAGTTAACATTATTTATCATATGTTCAGAGAAAAATAAACCTCACGGTATATGCATCCACAAACTTCATTCATAACTCTGTAAACAAGGGTGTCATCCGGACTAAGTGAATTTCATGAAATCTCCTTATATATATTTATGAACAAGTTCCTAATTGTTAAATTGTGTTAGAACTAGTTAATGATTAAACTCCTAACATGAACTGTGAATTTACAAACAATGAATTAAGTTCACACGTGTCGGCGTCGGTCAACAATTCATATTTTCCGATTAGAAAACCGCAAGAATTAGCTGCGCGTGTTGGGGAAAACTGAGCGCCGTCGTTACGATCAATTTTCGTTAAAGAAGGGCTTCCTCCCTTTTATTAACTACCAAATTAACTAATTTAACGTAGCTAACTTACAGCGTCTTCTCACTAAACCGCCCTCTAACTAAAAACCCCCAGCAAGCTACCAACTACCCCCAAGCGCTAACGTGCACATGGTTGCCTCTGTTTAACTATTTTTTTGATAGGATTTTTTTTTCAAATTCAAATTATTCAAATGTGATTTCGCGCCGCTATTAATTAGTTTCAGCGCGAAAATTTGATTCAAATTCGGTCACCACAACATATATCAAAAAAAAATAATAAAAATATAAGCTCCGCCCACCCGCCCTATCGCAATTGTGGTGATTTTTTTTTAATCGTGGAGAGCCAAAAGAGCGCAATTTAATTGCTAAATCCTTATTATTTCTCTACAATAAATTACCATCTAAGACGTGTTTTTGAGTATCGTGTTATTCAAAGGATGCTGTGTACATATATTAATAAAAAATTAAAGCCAAAGATTAAACCCTACCCATAACTGCCCTGACCTAAATAGTAATGAAGTTTTCATTCGTTGACAGACCTAACAAAAATTTACCATTTTAAACATGTTTTAATTTTCTACAAATAAAAAAATCACCAGAACTGAGATGGGGTGGGTAGGCGGGGTTTATACGTTGCCTTTTTTCCTTAGTATACATAGTATTCTTTGAACAACACGATGCTCAAAAACATGTTTTTAATTTCTTGTAGAAATAAGTACTTTGCAGTTAAGCTGAGTACCCTTGGTTCAGGGCGAATGAAAAAAATCATCACAATTGAGATAGGGCGGGTGGGCGGGCTTACATTTTTCTTGTTTGTTATAATATGTGCAGACTTCTTTTCACAACATGAAAATTAGGCTCTTTTTCTCAATCTTCCTTTTATTAATGATTCGTGATAGATAAGGAGAACAAACTGTACATAGATGCAAACCAAAATTTCAAATAAATTATTTGTTTTGATTAATTATTATTGCAAGGAAGGTTCAATATTATATCAAAACTTATTATTAAAAATTGTTATATTTGTTGCAATAATAACAATTTTTCATTAAAAATACCTTTTGTCTTTATTTAAAAAAACATCGATTTTTTAGCAATCAGACACTTAGTTTGGGATAGAGGGCGTATTATTTTTGAAAAATGGCAATCTGTCAAATGCAACTCAAATGACACGACAGTTGGGCCTCAAACCACGCGATGACAGAAGCTATGACCACAACCTTCTAGAAAATTCCTGTAAATCACTTCAACTGTCACTTGTCACTTGTCATTTTTGTGTGTTATTTGTTTGGGTTTGCGTGGTCTTTGCAAAAATACCTTGAACGGTGTTTGTGTTTCAGAATAAATAAAATACTAATAAATAATCGAAAATGTCGTATATGTTGGCACATTTACACAATGGGTGGCAAGTGGACCAAGCCATCCTGTCAGAGGAAGACCGTGTGGTAGTAAGTCGAAGCAACTTTTTCTCATCTGCAGCTTTTTTAATTCATGTTTTTAAGGTTATTCGATTTGGACACGATTGGGACCCCTCTTGTATGAAAATGGACGAGGTAATGTATAGCATTGCCGAAAAAGTGAAAAATTTTGCTGTTATTTATTTAGTGGATATAACTGAAGTACCTGACTTTAATAAAATGTAAGTAGAGTGTTGTGTAAGTTGGGGTGATCTAATATGTCGTATTTTGTAGGTATGAGTTGTACGATCCATGTACTGTGATGTTCTTCTTTAGAAACAAACACATAATGATTGATTTAGGTACTGGTAATAACAATAAGATTAATTGGCCACTAGAAGATAAACAAGAGATGATTGATATTATTGAAACTGTGTACCGGGGCGCGAGAAAAGGGAGGGGTTTGGTGGTATCACCTAAAGACTATTCAACTAAATATAGGTACTGATTTGGAATTAAGACTCTCATTATTGTAAATATTTTTATTATTTAAATAATTTGGTATAATTAAAAAAACAAATAAAATAAATGGCTGCTTAAGGTTCAAGCAAGAAACGTTCCTTTTTTTAAAATAGATTATAATTTATTACTGTTATATACAATTCATAATCACTCTATTCTAGATAATAATTTACAGATGCTAACTAAATGATCATATGTACCCACTGGAAGTGTTCTGATTTAATCAATGTATATACATAAATGTAATGAGTAGGCCTATAGCTATTACGTTACTTAACACCTCTAAAATTTTCAACCAAAATTAAAATGCGTAATATCAAATTATATTCAGCTTTTATCCCGTCGGTTTGTACAATACTGTAAGGCAATAAACATGCCAGTCAACAAAAATTACTTTACTTCAATAATGAGCAATAGCTCTCGTATATATTTTCAAAAAATAACAACAAAATTTAACATGTTTTTGACACTGTTTTATCAATGTGGCACCACTTCAACGTAATTAGCGGGATATAAACCGACCCTGCCGTCTTTCCGACCTTTACACCATCCTTGTTCATCCTCGTCTTCCAACTTCTCAAAAACGTCCCCTAAAAACAAACATCGTTTCTTGTTCAAAATAACGTCCTAAAACGTACCGGTTTTGAAGCTGAGTTCGTCGTTTTCGGCCCCTTCATAGTCATAAAGCGCTTTTACTGGAACACCTGGTTCCCCATTGTCCACCAGCGCGTCACTCTCATCCCATTCCTCTTCATCAAAAGGATTGGTCTCACCTTTTGTACTAGATCCATTCCTGAAACGTCGCTTTAGAATTGTTTTCAATAACGAACTACAGAAATTACGTTATTGTCGAAGCTCGATTGGCGGGACTTTCAACCTTTTCAACAACCGCCGGTTTCACCTCCTTTTTCTGTACAGGAGGCGTGTTGTTCACTTTTACGGCGGTTACTGTAGTTTTGGCCTTCAAAGACTTACTGTTGGCTGAATATTCCTATGCATGTAATAATAATTAGTCAAAGAGCTAACTATGATGGAATGTGATATTTTTGACAAAAGATGGCCGTGCACATTACCTTGAACGCGCCATTTTGTGTTACATCAAAAATATCTCTTTGGTGCGCACCATGCATGATAAAAATAAAAAACAACGAAAAAAAAGCCTACATGCAAGTCTTCTCCGACGGGCCTCTGGTTAATCAACGTGATTCCGGAAGTTGCAGAGTCCTTTGATTTCCCTTTACTTATATCTCTGAACTCCTCGGTGTAATCCTACTCAAACAAACGGCAAACAAATAAAACACAACTCATGCATTTACGCACCTCGAACTGCGGCCAGTTCATCGCCATGTTGACGCCGTGGTTGTTTGACCACCATTTCAGGTCCTTTTCGAAGTCGGCGTTGTTGATTGTGTGGTAAAGTTCCTCGTATATTTGTTGTAACCTGTCATTTGAAAAGTCACTGCATGAAACAGACTTTGCACTTACGTAATGCTTGTTTTATCTATCAGCTACGTTATCGTTTCTTTTATTACGACACTCGTAATGTTTTCACTTACGTCGGATCTTGCGAAATATTCAGGTATTTGTGAATGTCGAAAAGGGTCCCTTTGATGAAGTTCAGCCTTTGTGCTTCCATCTCCTGGCATTTATCAAATACCACCGTCATATCTTCCATGTATTTAGGGTTGTACTGGTTGATTTCTTGCAGGGCCGCTTCGTATTTCTCTTTGCATTTCTGGACTTCTTCTTTTGATTTTTGCACGCGGTCTTGCATTTTCTTCACCTGGTGAACAAGTAAACAAAAAATATAAATTTAAGCGTTTATGGGTACACTAATATTCATTTTATGCACCCAGTTATATTTTGTTTACAACTTTGAAAGTTACTCATCATAGCTTCAAGTCTGCTAAATCGAAAAAAGAAAAAAAATAATAATAAGCGGATGCTCTCTGGTATATTATAAGTAAGGTTCGGATAATACACAAAATGCATAGTTTAATGTCAATATTAATACAGTTGGTTATTGCTAGTATGCAGGTAAATAAGTTCGGACCTTTTCTCGGAATGCGGACGGGCTTTTCCGCTTCTTCGAAAAATTAAAAATTTGATTTTGCCAATTTGTATTCATTAAAACAAGTACAAGAGTGTGCTATTTTATAAAATTAATTATAAACATTTTTGAGATGTCATGACATTGATAGGCAGAGTGGGCAATCGGTCCGGTAGTTTTGGAGATTATCTGTCTAATAAAAATCTGAACAGACGGTACCTATGCTTACGCTCAGAAAGTAAAAATAAAATTCGCAAAATTAAATTTTATAATTTTTCGAACATTTTGTATTTTACAGAACGTGTATTTCCACAACACCGAAAACACACAATATATTTCTCGACGCGTTTCGCCAACCACGTTGGCATTATCCATGCATGCTTACAATAACTTCAAAACGTCAAGATTCCAAAGTATTCACTTTTACAATTCTTGATTTAATCAATAAAATAAATTGACTCAGTCATCAATTTTTTTCAGACACCCCGTATAAGCAAATCTAAAAAATATTAATGTAGTGATAAATCACAAATATAGACCCAACATTCTTTGCACATTTTTCAGCAAAATTTTGGGGTGGCATCATCAATTTTTTAGGGGGGATGAGCAAAAATACATTTTGATCAAAAATTTACCATGCTTATGATAACTTTAAAACATCTCCAAGATTTCCAAGCATTCGGTTTTGTAGTTCCTGATTAAATCAATAACATAAATTCACGCATTCATTTTTTTTAGGTCACCTGTATAAGCAAATTCAAAAAATGTGAATGAAATGATAATAATTTAACTTGCTTATCATGACTGTAAACCATCTCCAAGATTTCAGAGCATTCGGTTTTGCAGATTTCAAATTAAATTGCAAAATGTTGTTTCATAATTTTGATTTTTTTTTCAAAAATCTGGACATTTCGAGTAAAAACTCAATTCGGAATCATAAACTACATGTGTAGGACTATGTTATATTATACAATTTAAAACCCATTTGAAGTGACGTCATCACATTATTGGTGGAGATGATTAGACAAATGTTGGTTAGCGTTTTACCATTTACATGATATTCTAATATAAATACAAAATTTGACAATAATCGGTCCAGTACTTTCGGAGATTATCTGTCTAATAAAAATCCGGGACGGCAGACAGGCAGACAGACAGACAGACAGACGCACGGACAGAAAACGTAAAAGTAGAGAGTGGGCCGACGATTACAATACTTCCATTGCTTACGCTCGGAAAGTAAAAATTGGTCGAAAGCGGTGTAGACAGAATTTCCCTCGCACCTAAAGTACAGTGAAACATAATTCAGCATTTTTTTTGCTCTACAGAATTATGTGATATCATTAACATTTTTGCAAGAACACGTATATCAACTTGGATTGGTGGACTATAGTACTAAATAACAGTATTATATTCCCAAAATTTTCTGGGAAAATGGAGTGAGCCGTTCTTGATTTAATCAATAACATAAATTAACACATTCATTAATCTTTTTGAGCCACCTGTATAAGCAAATCTAAAAAATATAAATGCAATCATAAGTAAATGCGCAGCATATCTTGCACATTTCGAATAAACCTAGGAATTTAACTCGTTACTATGGAAATTTGCAATTTAACATCTTTAAATTTCACAAGTTTTTGCAAAATATAGGAGCAAAATCAGTTTTATCTTAACAAATACAAGGCCCGCCCACCCGCCCTCTATTTTCCCAGAGGATATGTCATTTGCCAAAATCAGTCTTATCTTACCAAGTATTAGCCCCGCCCACCCGCCCCTATTTTCTCAGAGGATATGTAATCTGCCAAAATCAGTCTTATCTTACCAAGTACTAGCCCGGCCCACCCGCCCCTATTTTCTCAGAGGATATGTAATCTGCCAAAATCAGACTTATCTTATCAAGTACTAGCCCCGCCCACCCGCCCTCTATTTTCCCAGAGGATATGTCATCTGCCAAAATCAATCTTATCTTACCAAGTACTAGCCCCGCTCACCCGCCCTCTATTTTCTCAAAGGATATGTTATTTGCCAAAATAAGACTAATGTTAGCAAGTACTAGTCCCCACCCACCCGCCCTTTGTTTTCTCAGAAGGTAGTACTCGCTAGAACTTGCTCAGATAAGACTGATTTTCGCAAACGCTATACTCTCTGAAAAAATAGAGGGCGGTTGGGCGGGGCCAGTACTTGCTAAGATAAAACTGATTTTGGCAAACGTCATACCCTCTGAGTTTCGCAGTTTGTCTAATCAAAATCAGGACGGCAGACAGACGGACAGACAGACAGACAGACGGAAACGGGAGACCTATTTCTTCGTACTCTAGTCGTCATGAAAGATCGAGAAAAGGTAAAAGTAGAGAGTCGGTCGACGAACCCGATTACAATACTTTCCGAGCGTAAGCGAAAAACATTGGTCGAAGGTTATTTTAACAGAACTTCCCTCGCCCCTGAAGTGCAGCCAAATAAATTCCACTTCTCTGAAAAATTATAGGAGTAATTTTTTTTACAATTTTTGTTTTCTGAAAACCACTAGAAAATAAAAATTAGTGGCGTAAATAAAGTTCCCCAGTTTATTTGACTTAAATTTTTTCTTCAATTTTTATTTTTTTTTGTGCCTATTTTTCAACTTTTCAATTCAATTTCTAGATTTTGCAATTTTTCGTTTTGAGTTTCTCGAGTTTTCAATTTTTAATTTTTTCATTTGCAATTTTTCGTTTCAGCTTTTAATTTTCTTTATGTTTACAATTTTTCAATTTTTTGTTTTTTCAATTTCATTTCTTTTCAATTTTTCGTTTCGTCGGTTTTTCAATTTGCAATTTATCAATTTTTCGTTTTTTTTTCTTTAATTTTACGATATCTCTTCCAGTTATCATTTTTAAATTTTTTGATTTTTCAGTTTTTCATTTCTTTTTTTAAGAGAAAAACGAGAAAGTACAAGTTATTCTACGTGACTTACATTAGGAATACAATCCAAAATTATAGAATAACTTTATGTTTTTTATTATATCTCTTATTCTTTGCGGCAAAAAACTGTTGAAAATAAACAAAGTATATAAAGGAAAAAAAAAAAAACAAATGGCCGGAGTTTAATTGCTAACATATTATTTCTCCAGAAAATTCTACCCTTTTAAAAACATGCAGAAATATTGATCACAATTGAGAAGGGATGGGTGGGCGGGGCTTATATTTTGTCCATTTTTTTCTTAATATACGAAGTCTTCTTTTCCCAACAAGAAACTGACAATATGTTTAACTATCCTGTTGTTGAAAGAAAACTATACAGGGTGTTGTTGAAAGGTACGTACAAAAAAATTGACAGTTCTTCGCGAAGTCTAAGAAGTCAGAAAAATTTATTTTGTGTTATCAAAATTATAAGGGAAAAATTAACCCTTATCCAACCTTTTTAGACGCTACTGAAAGATAAATATTTAGGTAAAATTAATTTATTTTAGTAAATCCTAGCAACTGAACAATAAAACTTTTGTCAAGACTAAATGTTGCTATAGAAACGAGAGATGATCTTTCTATCAGAGGCGTACAACAAATTTGGACATAAATTTTAATAATTTTTATCTCTAAAAGGAGAACACTTTTACCTGAACTTTTTTTAACTTTTAGCATCCATACGTCAAGACCAAATGTCGATTTTATTTTGTACGTACCTTTCAATAACACGCTGTATATAATTAAAAAACAAAAATTAAACCCCATCCACCCATCCGGTTCTCAATTGTGATGAGTTTTTCATTCCTAATCAGACCGAAAGGCGGAGTTTAATTGTAACATCAATATTTCTCTAAAAAATGCTACCCTTTTAAAAACATTTTTCATAAGGTAATTTCTTGCACAGAAATTAGGAATTTGCAACAAACCTTCGCCCTCCAGCTCACGATGAATAAAATATTCATCACAATAGAGAACGGGTGGGTGGGCGGGGCTTATATTTTGTCCATGTTTTCTTAATATACGAAGTCTTCTTTTCTCATCAAGAAACTGACAATATGTTTAATTATCCTGTTGTTGAAAGAAAACTCTATATATTAAAAAAAAAAAAAAAAAAAAATTAAGCCCCACCCACCCGCCCGATCTCAATTGTGATGAGTTTTTCATTCCCAATCAGACCGAAGGGCGGAGTTTAATTGTAACATCAATATTTCTCCAAAAAAGTCTACCGTTTTAAAAACATATTTCATATGGTAATTTCTAGTAGAGAAATGAGGAATTTGCAGCTAAACTCCGCCCTCCAGCTCACGATGAATAAAATATTCATCACAATTGAGAAGGGGTGGGTGGGCGGGGCTTATATTTTGTCCATGTTTTCTTAATATACGAAATCTTCGTTTCCCAACAAGAAACTGAAAACATGTTTAACTAACCTGTTGTTGAAAGAAAATTCTATATGTTAAAAAAAAAACAAAGAGTTAGCCCCACCCACCCTCCCCGATCTCAATTGTGATCTGTATTCCATTCCTAATCAGATCGAAGGCGGAGTTTAATTGTAACATCAATATTTCTCTAAAAAATGCTACCCTTTTAAAAACATATTTCATAAGGTAATTTCTTGCACAGAAATGAGGAATTTGCAACTAACCTTCGCCCTCCAGCTCACGATGAATAAAATATTCATCACAATTGAGAAGGGGTGGGTGGGCGGGGCTTATATTTTGTCCATGTTTTCTTAATATAGGAAGTCTTCTTTTCTCATCAAGAAACTGACAATATGTTTAATTATCCTGTTGTTGAAAGAAAACTCTATATATTAAAAAAAAAAAAAACAAATAAAAATTAAGCCCCACCCACCCGCCCGATCTCAATTGTGATGAGTTTTTCATTCCCAATCAAACCGAAGGGCGGAGTTTAATTGTAACATCAATATTTCTCTAAAAAATTCTACCGCTTTAAAAACATATTTCATATGGTAATTTTTTGTAGAGAAATGAGGAATTTGTAGCTGAACTCCGCCCTTCAGCTCACAATGAATAAAGCGTTCATCACAATTGAGAAAGGGTGGGTGGGCGGGGCTTATATTTTGTCCATGTTTTCTTAATATACGAAGTCTTCTTTTCCCAACAAGAAACTGAAAACATGTTTAACTAACCTGTTGTTGAAAGAGAATTCTATAAGATAAAAACAACAAAGATTAAGCCCCACCCACCCGCCCCGATCTCAATTGTGAAGAATTTTTCATTCGTTGTTAGACCGAGGGGAGGAGCGTAATTGCAAAATACATATTTCTGTATTGATTTGAATGAGTTTGTCTTCTCAAAACACAGGACTAAAATTATTAATTAATTATTATTATTATTTTACTAGAATAACAAATGCGACAAGAGTTTTTTCTTGCATATTTTAGCAGTTTTTTGCATGAAATGCCAAATTTCTCTGCATATATATGCGCATATTTACATGTTTTTTTCTGCATATAATTCCGAGACTTAAATATAAGTAACAGAAATAGGCAATCAATTCCCGCGTAAAAGCGTGCAAGACACACAAAACTTATAACGGAAAATCGTAGTGCTCTCTCCCTATTACCGAAATCAAACCCTCTACCGCAATCCTCCCTTATCCCATTTTCTCAACAATCAATTAACTACTTCCACATGTATCAAAGCTTCAGTCACTCCTACAAATAGCTAAAGCTTTATTCGTTCTACATTACAGCTGCATACACACATCAACAACATAAAAACTACAACAAATTACTTTCGCAATAACAAGAAAAACAGCCAATGAAGACATCCGTCATTAAACCAAGCAATATTTAATGATCAAAAAAACACTCACCATATTCTGTCGCTTGTTCAAAACACAAACATTACATTAGAAAAAACTGCATAAATAATAACCGACTCACCTGATCTACCGAGAACGAACTATCTCCAGCGGCATTCCTCTCCTGATTGGCCGCCGACTTCTCCGTTTTGCAGGCCGTGTGATAGTCGTTCTTGGCCTTCTCGACTTTCTGCAGCAGCTTAGACCAGGGCTTTTGGGCCTTCTTGAAAGCGTCATCCATATCCTTCTTTTCTTTGATGTTCATCATGGACTGCACAATCACATAGTTTTGGTTACCACGCTAACAAAAACAAGCATTACGCACCTTATGGTACGCGTCCTTTTGCCACGTCTTGATCTTGTTTATCACATCGTTCACTAGACAATCCCTGATTTTGGTGTGCAGGTCGCAGCGCCTGTCTGCCTCCACCAGCACCCCTTTCCACGCCGCCTCCGTGGTGCCGTACTCCGGGCCCTTCTCGATCGAATCGTTCCACTTCTTTGACCATGTCTTCAGGTTTTTCGCGTACGCTTTTTCGATTTCGGCTCGTTCGTTGACTAATGTGATCAGTTCGGTGCAGAGTTTGTATCCGTCTTCGATGCGTTTCGTGGTTTTCTTGTAGTTGCCGGGCTCCCAGAAGGAGTCGCTCGTGGCGATCAGCATGTTGTCATCGCTGTGATGCGACATGGTTCGTCCTCCGCACCTACGGAAAAGTAGCCGATTGTTAGAGTGGGAACCATTAGTCATACGCGTTGGGATGCGTAAACTTGTTTGCCTTCGGAAAAGTATTTTATTTGCATTGAAAGGATTCCCATGCGGGACGAGATTTGCGGAGTTTCGTTGTTGGATAACAAGAGTGCGCGGTCATTTTTTAAAAGGGGAAAAGCGGTAGTATCGTCATAGATTAATATAGATGCGACATACAAGCTGATTTTGCAAAACCACCCTTCTTGACATTGGAGTTCTCAACCGCCAAATTTAAATAGTCGATGCCAATAAAAAAACTTGTTTCACTACAACTCGTCGCCTGAGAACTTGTTTGATCTACAGACCAGAGCGCGCTCAAGCCAATGTCGACTCTAAGCGTTCAGAAGCGATTTGATTGGTTTGGACTATAATTTCTGCGGGAAATAGTCGTTTGGTCGGTTTTTATAACGACTAAGCGAATATTTTTGCTACATATTTAGATGATCTTAAATATTTTGTTTAACTAAGAATTAATTATTTGTTTTCTAGTAGCAAAACGTCTTAAACTAAGAATATTGTTGAAATCGTAATAACCCAATGGATTTTTTTCGGGAAAATGTTTTGGAAACACTGTGTTCTATTTTGTATGAATTTTAAAATGTTTTATGGACAATTTTTGTATAATATTAACAGTGAGAAAAAAAAAAAGAAAAATTAAAATAATCGAAAATTCGAAAAATCGAGAAATCTAATAATAGAAAAGTCGAAACTTTAGAAACTCGTAAAACCGAAACATTGAAAAATCGAAATATCGAAGAACTGAAAATCGAAAAATGAAACATCAGAAAATCGAAAAAATGTAAAATTTAAAAACCGAATAACGAAAAATCGAGAAATCGAAACTCCCAAATTTAAAAAATCGAATAACTGAAAAATCGAAACATCGAAAAACTGGAAAAGCGAAAAACCATGCATATTTTTGAATGAATCAAAGGACGATTCTGGAAAAATCATTGGAGTTATCGAAGAAATGAAAGCGGATATGACTTCTCCGGCCCGAAATCGACAAGAAAATGTATTTAGTGAAATTTCGAAAATTTTGTTGAAAATTGGGGAATTTTGCATTTTTTGAAAGTTTCAAAGGACGATTCTGGAAAAACCAATGGAGTTATCGAAGAAATGAAAGCGGATATGACTTCTGCGGCCCGAAATCTACAAGAAAATGTATTTTGTGAAATTTCGAAAATTTTGTTGAAAATTGGTCGAAAATTGGGGTATTTGGCATATTTTTGAATGTTTCAAAGGACGAGCCAGGAAAAACCAATGGAGTTATCGAAGAAATGAAAGCGGATATGACTTCTGCGGCCCGAAATCTACACGAAAATGTATTTAGTGAAATTTCGAAAATTTTGTTGAAAATTGGTCGCAAATTGGGGTATTTTGGATATTTTTGAATGTTTCAAAGGACGATTCTGGAAAAACCAATGGGGTTATCGAAGAAATGAAAGCGAATATGACTTCTGCCGCCTGAAATCTACAAAAAAATATATTTTGTGAAATTTCGAAAATTTTGTTGAAAATTGTTGGAAAATTGGGGTATTTTGTATATTTTTAAATGTTTCAAAGGACGATTCTGGAAAAACCAATGGAATTTTCGAAGAAATGAAAGTGGATATGACTTCTGCGGCCCGAAATCTACAAGAAAATGTATTTAGTCAAATTTCGAAAATTTTGTTGAAAATTGGTCGAAAAATTGGGGTATTTTGCATATTTTTGAATGTGTCAAAGGACGATTCTGGAAAAACCAATGGAGTCATCGAAGAAATGAAAGCGGATATGACTTCTGCGGCCCGAAATCTACAAGAAAATGTATTTAGTGAAATTTCGAAAATTTTGCTCTAAATTGATGGAAAATTGGGGAATTTTGCATATTTTTGAATGTTTCAAAGGACCATTCTTGAAAAACCAATGGAGTTATCGAAGAAATGAAAGCGAATATGACTTCTGCGGCCCGAAATCTACACGCAAATGTATTTAGTGAAATTTCGAAAATTTTGTTGAAAATTGGGGTATTTTGCATATTTTTGAATGTTTCAAAGGACGATTCTGGAAAAACCAATGGAGATATCGAAGAAATGAAAGCGGATATGACTTCTGCGGCCCGAAATCTACAAGAAAATGTATTTTGTGAAATTTCGAAAATTTTGTTGAAAATTGGTCGCAAATTGGGGTATTTTGGATATTTTTGAGTGTTTCAAAGGACGATTCTGGAAAAACCAATGGAGTTATCGAAGAAATGAAAATGGATATGACTTCTGCGGCCCGAAATCTACAAGAAAATGTATAAAGTGAAATTTCGAAAATTTTGATGAAAATTGGTCGAAAATTGGGGTATTTTGCATATTTTTGAATGTTTCAAAGGACGATTCTGAAAAAACCAATGGTGTTATTGAAGAAATGAAAGCGGATATGACTTCTGCGGCCCGAAATCTACAAGAAAATGTATTTAGTGAAATTTCGAAAATTTTGTTGAAAATTGGGGTATTTTGCATATTTTTGAATGTTTCAAAGGACGAATCTGGAAAAACCAATGGAGTTACCGAAGAAATGAAAGCGGATATGACTTCTGCGGCCCGAAATCTACAAGAAAATGTATTAAGTGAAATTTCGAAAATTTTGTTGAAAATTGGTCGAAAATTGGGGTATTTTGCATATTTTTGAATGAATCAAAGGACGATTCTGGAAAAATCATTGGAGTTATCGAAGAAATGAAAGCGGATATGACTTCTCCGGCCCGAAATCGACAAGAAAATGTATTTAGTGAAATTTCGAAAATTTTGTTGAAAATTGGGGAATTTTGCATTTTTTGAAAGTTTCAAAGGACGATTCTGGAAAAACCAATGGAGTTATCGAAGAAATGAAAGCGGATATGACTTCTGCGGCCCGAAATCTACAAGAAAATGTATTTTGTGAAATTTCGAAAATTTTGTTGAAAATTGGTCGAAATTTGGGGTATTTTGCATATTTTTGAATGTTTGAAAGGACGATTCTGGAAAAACCAATGGAGTTATCGAAGAAATGAAAGCGGATATGAGTTCTGCGGCCCGAAATCTACAAGAAAATGTATTTTGTGAAATTTCGAAAATTTTGTTGAAAATTGGTCGAAATTTGGGGTATTTTGCATATTTTTGAATGTTTGAAAGGACGATTCTGGAAAAACCAATGGAGTTATCGAAGAAATGAAAGCGGATATGACTTCTGCGGCCCGAAATCGACAGAAAAATTTATAAAGTGAAATTTCGAAAATTTTGTTGAAAATTGGTCGAAAATTGGGGTATTTTGCATATTTTTGAATGTTGCAAAAGACGATTCTGGAAAAACCAATGGAGTTATCGAAGAAATGAAAGCGGATATGACTTCTGCGGCCCGAAATCTACAAGAAAATGTATTTAGTGAAATTTCGAAAAATTTTGTTCTAAATTGATGGAAAATTGGGGTATTTTGCATATTTTTGAATGTTTCAAAGGACAATTCTGGAAAAACCAATGGAGTTATCGAAGAAATGAAATCGGAAATGACTTCTGCGGCCCGAAATCTACAAGAAAATGTATTTAGTGAAATTTCGAAAATTTTGTTGAAAATTGGTCGAAAATGGGGGTATTTTGCATATTTTTGAGTGTTTCAAAGGACGATTCTGGAAAAACCAGTGGAGTTATCGAAGAAATGAAAACGGATATGACTTCTGCGGCCCGAAATCTACAAGAAAATGTATAAAGTGAAATTTCGAAAATTTAGTTGAAAATTGGTCGAAAATTGGGGTATTTTGCATATTTTTGAATGTTTCAAAAGACGATTCTGGAAAAACCAATGGAGTTATCGAAGAAATAAAAGCGGATATGACTTCTGTGGCCCGAAATCCACAAGAAAATGTATAAAGTGAAATTTCGAAAATTTTGTTTTAAATTGGTCGAAAATTGGGGTATTTTGCATATTTTTGAATGTTTCAAAGGGCGATTCTGGAAAAACCAATGGAGTTATCGAAGAAATGAAAGCGGATATGACTTCTGCGGACTGAAATCGACAAGAAAATGAATTTTCTGAAATTTCGAAAATTTTGTTGAAAATTGGTCGAAAATTGGGGTATTTTGCATATTTTTTATGTTTCAAACGACGATTCTGGAAAAACCAATGGAGTTATCGAAGAAATGAAAGCGGATATGACTTCTGCGGCCCGAAATCTACAAGAAAATGTATTTTGTAAAATTTCGAAAATTTTGTTGAAAATTGGTCGAAAATTGGGGTATTTTGCATATTTTGGAATGTTTCAAAGGACGATTCTGGAAAAACCAATGGAGTTATCGAAGAAATGACAGCTGGTATGACTTCTGCTGCCCGAAATCCACAAGAAAATGTATTTAGTAAAATTTCGAAAATTTTGTTGAAAATTGGGAGGAATTTGTATATTTTTATATATTTCAAAGGACGATTTTGGAAAAACCAATGGAGTTATCGAAGAAATGAAAGCGGATATGACTTCTGCAGTCCGAAATCTACAAGAAAATGAATTTTGTGAAATTTCGAAAGTTTTGTTGAAGATTGATCGAAAATGGGGTATTTTGCATATTTTTGAAAAATCCTAAAACTGAAAAATCGAAAAATTAAAAAAGTGAAGTCGAAAAATAGAAACTTTAAAGAATTGAAAAATTGAAAAATCAAAAACCTGAAAAAAATAAAGAGTTGATAAAAGTCAAAAATTGAAAAATCGAAATATTTAAAAATCGTACAATTGAAAAGAAAAATTGAAATCCGAGAAATTGTAAAATCCAAAAATTGAATAATAAATAGGAGTAAACTGAAAAGTCCCCAAACTAAAATTTCGAAAAACTGAGAATTCCAGCTTGTAATATTCTGGTAAATCTAGTGTCAATTTGTCGAAAGTAAAACGCGTCGTTAAAAATATTTGACATTTTTTCTACTGTAGTTTGTTTTATTCCTAGTTAAAAACAAACACTGTTG